ATTTTTTTTTTTTCATTTGATGGTCATCATTTCCCCTTTCGGGGATCAGAATCATCCTTGTCCCGTTTTCACATCACAAGGAGGACGTTTCGTTTATTAAAATTAACATTATTACAAATTGACATTAAGTACATAGAGTAAAAAGTTATAAAATACATAAATAACACTGTACAGCCTGCTTGTCTAACTTGACAAGCATGTGCCGGAAGCTTTCCGGTCAATAGGTGGTGAAGAGGACTTTCTCCATCACCTTTACAAAAGTGTCCTTCTCACGAAGGTCCTGAGGTCATGTTTGAGGCACTTATCTCTGATGAGGTTATAGAGTTGTAGGTCATTATTTCCAGTGTTTAAATGATGAAGACTTAGAATTTCTGTCCTTTCTTTATCATACTTGTAACAGTTAAGTAATAGATGACTTATGTCTTGAATGCCGCTACCACAATCGCATACTTCTGATTGCCTTTTACCGATTTTCTTTAAGTATGAGTAGCAATTCCCATGGCCTGTATATAGTTGACAATTGATGTGATCCATAGGGAGCCAATTGAGTTCTTTGACTCGTTCTTCCATGCTTGGTATTAACCAAAACGTGTGTCTTCCTTTCTGAGAGTATGATCTCAGTAGTGACAGTGATGCTTTCTCATAACCTCCCGACCTACTATCTCAATTTCTCCAAGTCAATAAAGCCAGCAACTACAAGTTTAGGCAGTTTTCGCCAGTCACTCTTGGATTTGTCATCAAAATTTTCATATGTCAGTCCCAATCGTACCCTGTCGGATTTTCACGTTACCTTCAACTGTGCCTAGAAGAATAATTTTTTTGATCCAGACTGGTCCAGAATGATCCAAATCCAAACCCTCAAGATCTTAATCTCAACCTCAAATCAAGAATCATCTCCATCAATGCAGGTATTTCCCAACTCACAAACAATTGTAAACTCTCTCTCACATGATTGCTAGATAGATAGGTTAAGTCGATATATTGTATCATGTATTCCTCTTTGTTAAAAATAAATGGTTATTTAGTTGTTAACTTTCGTATCTGAGTATTTTACTTGCAGTACTTTGTCTCTCAACCCATCTCCTTCTGGATCCAAACACCCATGCATGTGGCCGCTCATGTGACCAAATCAACATGCCATCTTGGCTTCCATGTCAATCGGAACACAGTGGTGTTAGTCCTGAAGAGGCACTAAAGAGGTGTCGACTCTCCGGTCACACAAACTTATAACTTAACATATAAACTAATAAAAGTTTATTCTATTGTGAAATATTAATGATGTACTTTTTTCTTTGCTTTTCTTTGCATCTACTAGTTCTAGATTTTTATTTTTCATCTTTCTACATTTCTATTAACATTGGATTCATCTAAATAACTTTTTTAGTTTTTTGAAAATACTTTTTTAAAAATAGTTAAAAAGAAAAAATTAAGCTTTAAAATTATAAGTCTTTTTTTGTCAATGTCTATTTCCATTTATTCCAAAATGCTAAGATCAATACAAATTCGAGAAATATTTATTACATTTAATTATTTTAATTAAATTTGTTCCTCTCTTACAGATTTTACTAACTTTAATTAAAATTAATTCTTATGTGAATTAATAATTTAATTTGGATGTATACCATGCTATTAATTTCTTATACAACTTTTTACAATGTGATTGTTTAAGATTAATAATTCAGTTTTAAAAATTCTTTATATAATTATTCAAATAGTTATTATACCTGAAATGTTAAGTAAAACAAAAATAAAATTAATTTACAATATATGCCATCATATAAGCCAATCTAAATATTTTCAGCTCAAAATTCTAGTTTGAATCTATACCATCATACAATAGACTACCATAGGCTCTAGCCTATGAATTAATATTGAATTATACTACTAATTACTATTGAAACATGAATATGTTTTATGGTAGCCTATTGCAAAAATATCAACTATTACCTTTTATAGTTCATATAAAGGGCACAAAGCAACTGTTAAAAATCTTCAGTAAGTTATCTTAGTTGGAATTTTATTATACATCAGATTTACTAGTACACACATTCAAGGGTAAACGTTCACATTTTATACCCACCATACAAATCAACTTCTAGTTTTAGAGAGATTTTTGAGGTTTAAAAAGTCACTCATATGTTGACATATACAGTAAATTATAAAATATTATTTAAAATATTTAACTAAACATAATCTAATGTAAAACTAAAAAAAATGTTTATTTTAATTTATATAAAAAAACATTATTGAACTTACTTTAAATAATTAATTCTACTGGTATTAGCTAAATAATTCAATAGCCAAAATGTAGCTTCTTTATTACTGTTAATTATTGTCTCAATACAATTCACCCATTCTGTCATCACAGTACTAAAATAAAACATTCAGAACAAGGAAGTATCAGCAGTAAATTTATTAAATTGCTATTAAATATTTAAAGAATATTCTCTAACACAATTTTTTATCTATAATAATAAACAAAAATAAATTAAAATTCAAATAATAAAAATATAAACCATTATGAAAATCAAAACAATGTATGTATAAAATACAGTAGAGTCCTGTACAACATGCAAATAAAGCAAGCAACACCCTCGAATTTTGTCCATCAGAGGTATACGTTTTTTTTTTCAACTTATAGGCCAAGGTTTAAACTTTCATAAATTGTGTGATAATGCAGGTTTTGATAACGTGATTACTTATAATGAGTAATGAATCCCCACATTGTACGGGACTCTACTGTATAAATATTGGAACTTCCAAATCAATATTTAACCTATAATCTATTTATTATTGTTATTATTATTTATTCATTTACCTTCCAATGCATATATATATATAGAAAGATAATGATGTTGATATTTTTTTTTTAATATTTCAAATTTTCAAGTAAATCCAAAATTATTAATTTAAATAAAAACTTAATGGCATTAAAATGAAAACGTAGACAGTGAATAATATTCATCCTCTATGTTTTCATTCTAAATGATGAGGCAATAGCATAAAAAAATTTTCATAATAGGACATTTCATTTCACAATAACTAATTTTTTTCTTTCTGGCTTTTTAAAGCTCTACTTAGATAATAATGCTTTCTATCTCCTCTCCATTCAGACACTCATTATTATTTATTTCTGTTGACTATAATTTACATTGTGCACTGAAGCAAATCAGAATCACAGTAAATAATATATTCCATTTAAATATTGTTATTTCATTAATTAAACTTTTTTCATGGAGTTTAATCATGTGAATTTAAACATGTGAATTTTTGACTATTACATTAAAAATTACTAAAACGTAAATGAAAATTAACATGTTAATTACAATTACATAATTAGAAATTGTTAGTGTAAATTGTAGCATTATATCAATACTTTGCAATAAATGATAAAAGTGCAATGCAAATTAATCATAACATATGAAATCAAAAAATTGATTTACACTAGTTTTCACTCTAAAACATTTAAATGATTATAATCAGTGAACAAACAAAGCAAAAAAATATGTAAACAAGCTTAAATTTTTTTTATTTTATAAAATGCTAATAAAGTTTAAGACTAGTTTGTCAGAAAATTCTCATTGCGTCCTTAGCTCAAGAAATATGCAATTGCAATTATTCTGAACATTTGATTAAAAAGATTTTTTTTTATTGGTTTCTAGCTTATGAATTTTTTATTTTCAAATCACATGGGGCTATCCAAAAATTATGTAATTCAGATACAGTAATTGGGTATGCAGGTAATCATTACAATGCATTACAAGGATGTGTAGTATACAAAAACAATATGTAATACTAGGATTGCAACTCTTAGATAACAGAATAATTTGTTTTTGTTTCTGAAGTGTTTTATGGCAATTGTACTGTTTATGTCACTGCTTTGTACATAATACTTGTAATTAATAAAACAATGTAATGCTCTGTATCCCCATCTGTGAAATATTCAATTTGGGAGTATGTGTGACAACAATATGAAGTGTGACAACAATATGAAGTGTTACAAGAAGATGGGATGATAGTTGAAAATAGCATTATGTAGTTAATGGATGATTCCACATTTACTACTTTTTAGAAATTATATAAAATAATGAATATAATTTGTCCTTCTGAATTAAATTGCATTTTAATCCAATATTTTGTCAAGAAATTCAGTTTTATCAATATCCATCACTAATTTACTAATATTTATTAAATTTTAAATAATATCTACAATATTTATGTTTAATAATTTATCTTCGCTCTTTTTATTTAAAATTTATAAATAAATTATATATAATGCTGTATTCTGATTAGAATGAACACATTGAAACATTCCATACAATCTGGAATTGTAATTGTAAGCAAAGTTAATGAGGTGTGACTTTTTTGTTCACAAACTAATATAATATTCTTTTATGACAACAATTTTCTCTTATTTTATTTTAATCTGAAAGTTATCTGATATAAATGAATAGACACTGATACCCAGAGATTCCTTTAGGTATAATTTCTCTTCTCAAATAATAGAATCAATTTTCTAATTCTAATTACTAAAGAAAAAGATATTCTATAAAGGAAAAAAATGTAATAAAACTTATAATTGGTATACTGAATTAAAACTGGTATACAAAATAATAATTATTTTTTCTTTTTAGATTGAAAATTAAAACATGAATATTGTACTAATATCCAGTAAGGCAGTAACGTAACACATTAGCTAAACATATACTCAAATATTATGTGAAAAAATTACTCAGCATATGATAAACATCAATTAAGTATAACACCAATACTAATTATCTTTTCAACAGAATTTTTCTTGTCAATAATATATAGAGTATATAAATGATACAATGCCATTTAATTTTTAATTTTTCAAAAATTCTAATAAATATGTTTTACCAATAATATAATTGAAATATAAAAAAGTCATAAATTTTAAATTCTTTATTATAAAAAATATTTAACATTTTCATAACTTACTAAAATTTAATTTATAAATTTCTTTTTAAACATAATTTTAAAAAAACTAACCTGATCTTCCTTTTATAACGTAAGTAAGTATTGAAAAGAAAATTGACACTTAAATTTAAACTTTCAATCATTAATTTGGGATAATCAGAAAGCTTTGAATTTCCCTAAAATAATAAATTTAAATCAAATAAAAAGAAAAGCTTTATTAATTTTTAAAATATTAAATTTTTACTTACAATGTTGCAAGTAACAACTTGCTGTATGAAACTAAAATATGAATTGCTGTAAATGTCTCGATTGTGCATAAAAACTAAATTTTCTTCCCTTACTAATTGCTGTATTCTAGCTGGCATTTTATCCAAAAACAGTCCCTGTCTTTCACCTCTGTCAACCAATTGTGTTAGCTGACTTAAGCTATCACCATGTCTATGTGTACCACTTTTTCTTACTGTTCTTTAATGAAAAAATCAAATAATGTAACAAAATAATTTATATTTAGAATTTGAGTTAAAAATATAAAAAAATTTATAATTCTCACTTATTTGGTGTACCAATATTATCTTTCTCAGTTTTCCTGAATGAAAATCGTCCAGGTATTTTTCGAGGTGTTCTTGGTGTTTTTATCGCTTCTTCCATTCTCTCATAAAATAATATATAGCCATTCCAATACCTTTGTCGAATCTCAGGATAAGAATTACCTGAAATTGCATATATGTTACAAAAATGCTGTTATTAAAATTATAATAAATAAATCATATATAAAAATTATACAGTGTATATTTCAACAAGTGTTGAAAAAACAAAAATAAAGAGTTTTATTTATTTCTTTGCTGTTTTTTTAAAATATAAGTAAACATATCTCTTATGTTATTTCTATAATATACAAAATTGAAGTACTTTTTAATTCCTGAAATGTATTTCCTACATTTAACTAAATAAATATGGTAAATAAAATTCTTAAAAGTCTGTGCCTTGGGCAACTATAATTTTTCTCTAATTCTAATATAAATCAAAAGCTGATGATTGTTTTAAATAATTCTTGATTATACTATAATTTTACATATATGTTTTACATAAAATTTATAAATAAATTATATATAATGCTGTATTCTGATTAGAATGAACACATTGAAACATTCCATACAATCTGGAATTGTAATTGTAAGCAAAGTTAACGAGGTGTGACTTTTTTGTTCACAAACTAATATAATATTCTTTTATGACAACAATTTTCTCTTATTTTATTTTAATCTGAAAGTTATCTGATATAAATGAATAGACACTGATACCCAGAGATTCCTTTAGGTATAATTTCTCTTCTCAAATAATAGAATCAATTTTCTAATTCTAATTACTAAAGAAAAAGATATTCTATAAAGGAAAAAAATGTAATAAAACTTATAATTGGTATACTGAATTAAAACTGGTATACAAAATAATAATTATTTTTTCTTTTTAGATTGAAAATTAANTGAAAATTAATGAATACACAGTGTACAGTAATTTACCTGATAAGACAGACCTCAGAAAAATACTTTATGAGGCATAAAGATGTCTATAATGAAAATTAACTAGGGGTTTTTTCACCCTGTTAGGGTGTGGCTGAGTTATCGAGTGCCAAGTTTTTGGGACTCTACTGTAATTAGACAAATTTTTAACTTATATTGTAAAGAAACAATTATTGTAAACAGAAAATTTATTAAATTTCTCTTATGTTAGATGTTGTGCTAAATCCATCAAGTAATAAATGTGAGGAATCAGACTTCAGCGTAAACAATTTAACATGGTAACATCAACTTTCACACCTGGAAGTAAATCATTTGTTAAGTTCTCAGTAGTGACATTTCATTTTTTTTTTTTTTTTTTTTTTTCATTTGATGGTCATCATTTCCCCTTTCGGGGATCAGAATCATCCTTGTCCCGTTTTCACATCACAAGGAGGACGTTTCGTTTATTAAAATTAACATTATTACAAATTGACATTAAGTACATAGAGTAAAAAGTTATAAAATACATAAATAACACTGTACAGCCTGCTTGTCTAACTTGACAAGCATGTGCCGGAAGCTTTCCGGTCAATAGGTGGTGAAGAGGACTTTCTCCATCACCTTTACAAAAGTGTCCTTCTCACGAAGGTCCTGAGGTCATGTTTGAGGCACTTATCTCTGATGAGGTTATAGAGTTGTAGGTCATTATTTCCAGTGTTTAAATGATGAAGACTTAGAATTTCTGTCCTTTCTTTATCATACTTGTAACAGTTAAGTAATAGATGACTTATGTCTTGAATGCCGCTACCACAATCGCATACTTCTGATTGCCTTTTACCGATTTTCTTTAAGTATGAGTAGCAATTCCCATGGCCTGTATATAGTTGACAATTGATGTGATCCATAGGGAGCCAATTGAGTTCTTTGACTCGTTCTTCCATGCTTGGTATTAACCAAAACGTGTGTCTTCCTTTCTGAGAGTATGATCTCAGTAGTGACAGTGATGCTTTCTCATAACCTCCCGACCTACTATCTCAATTTCTCCAAGTCAATAAAGCCAGCAACTACAAGTTTAGGCAGTTTTCGCCAGTCACTCTTGGATTTGTCATCAAAATTTTCATATGTCAGTCCCAATCGTACCCTGTCGGATTTTCACGTTACCTTCAACTGTGCCTAGAAGAATAATTTTTTTGATCCAGACTGGTCCAGAATGATCCAAATCCAAACCCTCAAGATCTTAATCTCAACCTCAAATCAAGAATCATCTCCATCAATGCAGGTATTTCCCAACTCACAAACAATTGTAAACTCTCTCTCACATGATTGCTAGATAGATAGGTTAAGTCGATATATTGTATCATGTATTCCTCTTTGTTAAAAATAAATGGTTATTTAGTTGTTAACTTTCGTATCTGAGTATTTTACTTGCAGTACTTTGTCTCTCAACCCATCTCCTTCTGGATCCAAACACCCATGCATGTGGCCGCTCATGTGACCAAATCAACATGCCATCTTGGCTTCCATGTCAATCGGAACACAGTGGTGTTAGTCCTGAAGAGGCACTAAAGAGGTGTCGACTCTCCGGTCACACAAACTTATAACTTAACATATAAACTAATAAAAGTTTATTCTATTGTGAAATATTAATGATGTACTTTTTTCTTTGCTTTTCTTTGCATCTACTAGTTCTAGATTTTTATTTTTCATCTTTCTACATTTCTATTAACATTGGATTCATCTAAATAACTTTTTTAGTTTTTTGAAAATACTTTTTTAAAAATAGTTAAAAAGAAAAAATTAAGCTTTAAAATTATAAGTCTTTTTTTGTCAATGTCTATTTCCATTTATTCCAAAATGCTAAGATCAATACAAATTCGAGAAATATTTATTACATTTAATTATTTTAATTAAATTTGTTCCTCTCTTACAGATTTTACTAACTTTAATTAAAATTAATTCTTATGTGAATTAATAATTTAATTTGGATGTATACCATGCTATTAATTTCTTATACAACTTTTTACAATGTGATTGTTTAAGATTAATAATTCAGTTTTAAAAATTCTTTATATAATTATTCAAATAGTTATTATACCTGAAATGTTAAGTAAAACAAAAATAAAATTAATTTACAATATATGCCATCATATAAGCCAATCTAAATATTTTCAGCTCAAAATTCTAGTTTGAATCTATACCATCATACAATAGACTACCATAGGCTCTAGCCTATGAATTAATATTGAATTATACTACTAATTACTATTGAAACATGAATATGTTTTATGGTAGCCTATTGCAAAAATATCAACTATTACCTTTTATAGTTCATATAAAGGGCACAAAGCAACTGTTAAAAATCTTCAGTAAGTTATCTTAGTTGGAATTTTATTATACATCAGATTTACTAGTACACACATTCAAGGGTAAACGTTCACATTTTATACCCACCATACAAATCAACTTCTAGTTTTAGAGAGATTTTTGAGGTTTAAAAAGTCACTCATATGTTGACATATACAGTAAATTATAAAATATTATTTAAAATATTTAACTAAACATAATCTAATGTAAAACTAAAAAAAATGTTTATTTTAATTTATATAAAAAAACATTATTGAACTTACTTTAAATAATTAATTCTACTGGTATTAGCTAAATAATTCAATAGCCAAAATGTAGCTTCTTTATTACTGTTAATTATTGTCTCAATACAATTCACCCATTCTGTCATCACAGTACTAAAATAAAACATTCAGAACAAGGAAGTATCAGCAGTAAATTTATTAAATTGCTATTAAATATTTAAAGAATATTCTCTAACACAATTTTTTATCTATAATAATAAACAAAAATAAATTAAAATTCAAATAATAAAAATATAAACCATTATGAAAATCAAAACAATGTATGTATAAAATACAGTAGAGTCCTGTACAACATGCAAATAAAGCAAGCAACACCCTCGAATTTTGTCCATCAGAGGTATACGTTTTTTTTTTCAACTTATAGGCCAAGGTTTAAACTTTCATAAATTGTGTGATAATGCAGGTTTTGATAACGTGATTACTTATAATGAGTAATGAATCCCCACATTGTACGGGACTCTACTGTATAAATATTGGAACTTCCAAATCAATATTTAACCTATAATCTATTTATTATTGTTATTATTATTTATTCATTTACCTTCCAATGCATATATATATATAGAAAGATAATGATGTTGATATTTTTTTTTTAATATTTCAAATTTTCAAGTAAATCCAAAATTATTAATTTAAATAAAAACTTAATGGCATTAAAATGAAAACGTAGACAGTGAATAATATTCATCCTCTATGTTTTCATTCTAAATGATGAGGCAATAGCATAAAAAAATTTTCATAATAGGACATTTCATTTCACAATAACTAATTTTTTTCTTTCTGGCTTTTTAAAGCTCTACTTAGATAATAATGCTTTCTATCTCCTCTCCATTCAGACACTCATTATTATTTATTTCTGTTGACTATAATTTACATTGTGCACTGAAGCAAATCAGAATCACAGTAAATAATATATTCCATTTAAATATTGTTATTTCATTAATTAAACTTTTTTCATGGAGTTTAATCATGTGAATTTAAACATGTGAATTTTTGACTATTACATTAAAAATTACTAAAACGTAAATGAAAATTAACATGTTAATTACAATTACATAATTAGAAATTGTTAGTGTAAATTGTAGCATTATATCAATACTTTGCAATAAATGATAAAAGTGCAATGCAAATTAATCATAACATATGAAATCAAAAAATTGATTTACACTAGTTTTCACTCTAAAACATTTAAATGATTATAATCAGTGAACAAACAAAGCAAAAAAATATGTAAACAAGCTTAAATTTTTTTTATTTTATAAAATGCTAATAAAGTTTAAGACTAGTTTGTCAGAAAATTCTCATTGCGTCCTTAGCTCAAGAAATATGCAATTGCAATTATTCTGAACATTTGATTAAAAAGATTTTTTTTTATTGGTTTCTAGCTTATGAATTTTTTATTTTCAAATCACATGGGGCTATCCAAAAATTATGTAATTCAGATACAGTAATTGGGTATGCAGGTAATCATTACAATGCATTACAAGGATGTGTAGTATACAAAAACAATATGTAATACTAGGATTGCAACTCTTAGATAACAGAATAATTTGTTTTTGTTTCTGAAGTGTTTTATGGCAATTGTACTGTTTATGTCACTGCTTTGTACATAATACTTGTAATTAATAAAACAATGTAATGCTCTGTATCCCCATCTGTGAAATATTCAATTTGGGAGTATGTGTGACAACAATATGAAGTGTGACAACAATATGAAGTGTTACAAGAAGATGGGATGATAGTTGAAAATAGCATTATGTAGTTAATGGATGATTCCACATTTACTACTTTTTAGAAATTATATAAAATAATGAATATAATTTGTCCTTCTGAATTAAATTGCATTTTAATCCAATATTTTGTCAAGAAATTCAGTTTTATCAATATCCATCACTAATTTACTAATATTTATTAAATTTTAAATAATATCTACAATATTTATGTTTAATAATTTATCTTCGCTCTTTTTATTTAAAATTTATAAATAAATTATATATAATGCTGTATTCTGATTAGAATGAACACATTGAAACATTCCATACAATCTGGAATTGTAATTGTAAGCAAAGTTAATGAGGTGTGACTTTTTTGTTCACAAACTAATATAATATTCTTTTATGACAACAATTTTCTCTTATTTTATTTTAATCTGAAAGTTATCTGATATAAATGAATAGACACTGATACCCAGAGATTCCTTTAGGTATAATTTCTCTTCTCAAATAATAGAATCAATTTTCTAATTCTAATTACTAAAGAAAAAGATATTCTATAAAGGAAAAAAATGTAATAAAACTTATAATTGGTATACTGAATTAAAACTGGTATACAAAATAATAATTATTTTTTCTTTTTAGATTGAAAATTAAAACATGAATATTGTACTAATATCCAGTAAGGCAGTAACGTAACACATTAGCTAAACATATACTCAAATATTATGTGAAAAAATTACTCAGCATATGATAAACATCAATTAAGTATAACACCAATACTAATTATCTTTTCAACAGAATTTTTCTTGTCAATAATATATAGAGTATATAAATGATACAATGCCATTTAATTTTTAATTTTTCAAAAATTCTAATAAATATGTTTTACCAATAATATAATTGAAATATAAAAAAGTCATAAATTTTAAATTCTTTATTATAAAAAATATTTAACATTTTCATAACTTACTAAAATTTAATTTATAAATTTCTTTTTAAACATAATTTTAAAAAAACTAACCTGATCTTCCTTTTATAACGTAAGTAAGTATTGAAAAGAAAATTGACACTTAAATTTAAACTTTCAATCATTAATTTGGGATAATCAGAAAGCTTTGAATTTCCCTAAAATAATAAATTTAAATCAAATAAAAAGAAAAGCTTTATTAATTTTTAAAATATTAAATTTTTACTTACAATGTTGCAAGTAACAACTTGCTGTATGAAACTAAAATATGAATTGCTGTAAATGTCTCGATTGTGCATAAAAACTAAATTTTCTTCCCTTACTAATTGCTGTATTCTAGCTGGCATTTTATCCAAAAACAGTCCCTGTCTTTCACCTCTGTCAACCAATTGTGTTAGCTGACTTAAGCTATCACCATGTCTATGTGTACCACTTTTTCTTACTGTTCTTTAATGAAAAAATCAAATAATGTAACAAAATAATTTATATTTAGAATTTGAGTTAAAAATATAAAAAAATTTATAATTCTCACTTATTTGGTGTACCAATATTATCTTTCTCAGTTTTCCTGAATGAAAATCGTCCAGGTATTTTTCGAGGTGTTCTTGGTGTTTTTATCGCTTCTTCCATTCTCTCATAAAATAATATATAGCCATTCCAATACCTTTGTCGAATCTCAGGATAAGAATTACCTGAAATTGCATATATGTTACAAAAATGCTGTTATTAAAATTATAATAAATAAATCATATATAAAAATTATACAGTGTATATTTCAACAAGTGTTGAAAAAACAAAAATAAAGAGTTTTATTTATTTCTTTGCTGTTTTTTTAAAATATAAGTAAACATATCTCTTATGTTATTTCTATAATATACAAAATTGAAGTACTTTTTAATTCCTGAAATGTATTTCCTACATTTAACTAAATAAATATGGTAAATAAAATTCTTAAAAGTCTGTGCCTTGGGCAACTATAATTTTTCTCTAATTCTAATATAAATCAAAAGCTGATGATTGTTTTAAATAATTCTTGATTATACTATAATTTTACATATATGTTTTACATAAAATTTAATTTTAAAAATTGCAAAAAAAAAAAAAAATATTTAGTTACCAGAATCTCTAACTTTAGCTTTGTAAGTTCCACCAAAGCATTCTGCTTCCAATGTAATATCATTAAAGTCATATTCTTCAACTGTGGTATCATTAAATTTAAACCATTTTCCAACATTTGCTACATTATCTTGTCTGTTGAATACAAAGTAACAGTTATTTATTAATTTATTAAAACAGAAAATTTTTTAAAAATTATATCAATACAATAATATATCTCAAATGAAAAACTTAGTAATATTTATATTTATAAGCCAAGCTTTTTCATAGATTTTTTTCTGTCAGAATAACATTAAATTACCTTTGAAGCTATATAGTTAAGTAACGGTATCAATATATTCAATCTAATTATAAATTAATATGTTAATAGAAATACTTATAAAAGATAGCAATCCTATAATATAATAATTCTATAGGGTTTTCCATTATGGGTGCTCGAACTTCAAATTTAAATAAAACAAGGTGTGTATGAGATATCATTAATTTTATTTTTTTACTTGAAAGAGTATTCGATTACCTTATGTATGGAATATAATATCGGCCAAATGGCTGCCACGGCTTCGCTGGGTGGCACATATATGAGAGGTCATTTTTGATGACTCGACGGCATAAATTGGGCTTGATATCATTGATGGCATTGGTTATGTTGACTTTTAAGGCATCAATTGTCTGCAGCTTATTCACATAAACCCATGATTTAACATAACCCCATAAGAAAAAGTCTAATGGCGTTAAATCACATGATCTCAGTGGTCAGTTGACATCACTGAAATGTGAGATAACCATGCCATCAAATTTGTCATGCAGAAGATCCATTGTTGCATGCACTGTTGTAATGCCGTCCTGTTGGAACCACATGTCATTGAGATCCATATCTTCCAATTTAGGCCACAAAAAATTGGTTATCATTGACCTGTACCTCTCGCCAGTGACAGTTATAGTGATGCCAGCTTCATTTTGGAAGAAGTACGGACCAATGACCCCGCCAAACCAAAATCCACATCAAACAGTGACTTTTTCTGGATGCATTTGCAACTGATGGGTCTCATGTGGATTGTTATCACCCCAAATGAAACAATTTTGCTTGTTGACATAGCCATTCATCCGAAAAGGGGCCTCGTCACTGAAGATGATTTTCTGTCCAAAATCAAGGTCCACTTCCAACTGCTCCAGAGCCCAGTCAGCAAATGCTCAATGCTGCCTATGGTCATTCAGTTCCTGTGTCAATTGAATTTTGTACAGGTGCAGGCCCAAGTCCCAATGCAAAATTCGTCAAGTTGAGGTCTGCAAAAGGCCAAGTTCTTGGATGCGACGAGGAATTGACTGCCATGGGTTATCCCGCACACACTTGTTCACTGCAGCAATGTTTTCTGCAGACTTCACGTTTCAATGACGTACGGGTATTGTTTGATTTATTGAACCAGCTGATTCGAATTTGGCCTCCAAACGACAAACAGTTGACTCAACAGGATGCACACAATGATCCTGATTGTGTGCACCATAAAAATCACATAGCGCACGAAATGTAGCTCAAACTCAGCACTCATTTTGATAGTAAATTTTAATGATTTGCATGCATTGCTCAACACTGTAATTTTCCATAATGATTTGACCAACATTAATTACTATAACCTACAAATCTGACAGCTGTAGTTTCACTAACATGGCCGCTATACACTGGCAAAGTTCGAGCGCTCCTAGCAGAAAACCCAATATATACTGTTATTATGTTCTTTGTCTATTAGTTTTGTTTAAAACATTGTTTTTATTTGGTTTGAAAAGCAATATCTATTAATTTATAAGAGGCATTCAATTAAAAATGGGACACTTGGGTTTGACACCTGCACCTCCTCCTGGATACTATATCAGAAATGGACTACACCATACATTGAACCAATAAGGGCAAATGTTATGTGATTTAAGGCCATGTCAGCTGTCTGCATTGGATTGAAGTTTGTTATTGTCTAAAGTGAAGTATGAAATGTAGTTTAGAAAGCAGTCAAACCCCAGTTTTCAAGTGACTCACTTTTCAAACAATTTGGTTCATGAACAGAATTTTTAACTCATATTTGCCCTAGTTGCCGAATAAGCTACTCAGCAAGAGCCGACCATAGATGACACAGACAGTTAACTCGTTATACTTTCTGTTAAAGAAAGTCAACTGCCCAACCAATCAGTGACATGACTACTGATTTAGAAGTAATACTAAGATCACTGCATCATTACATGTCATCACATAAATCATTGATGACATTGCTATTTAAATTAGATTTCAACGTGCATGCAGAAAAGATACTATTTCTGTTTTTTTGGTATGTGCCACAGTTGAATTTAAATCAAATTAATTAATAAAAACAAAATTAATTGACATTCATGTAATATAAATGGCATCTATTTAAGAATGTGTGTTTAAATATGCTTAAGTTAAATTAAATAACAAAAATTTAGTAACATAATATTATATATTTATTAATATAATATTACATTGCATTTGTAAGCATTCTTATGAATGAAATATAGCTGAAAGGGTAAAAAAAAAGAATTGTTTTGAGGGTCAGGAATAGATTAATCCATATTATATTGTTTCTTATGGAAAAGTTTGTTTTAGTTTTAGAACAAATCAGTTTTTAAACAACTTTTAGGAACAAATTAAGTTTGAAACCTGAGGTCTGACTGTAAAGACAGTGTTGAGCAATGCAGTGTTGAGCAATGCATGCAAATGCATGCAAATCATATAAGTGAGCCATTATATGCTTTCTCACAGCTGAAGACATTTGTGTTTGGGTACCCAATTGAAGAATAGTTGGTGTATATGGGAATAACCATGTCCCTGACATGGATGCAAGAATGGAGTAAACAGTTTCATGAAGCCTGTATATCCTTGAATGATACTTGATCTGGCCAGCCACATGATGTTAGTCAAAATGTTGATGAATTGATCTGTAAATGATCAGGCATCACAATAAGAAAGAAAGGCTGCAGGAGAGCTTTCTTTTTAGCTAAATATCAGTAACAGCTCTGTTCACACAGTTATCAAAGAATTTCAGTACCACAAAATTGCACTCTATAGATGCTTCATCATCTTCATCAATGAACAAAAACCATGTGGATAACCATATCTCTGTAAAATCTGACACACTATCTCACTGAAGGTGTAGAATTTCTTTCACATGATGTTGTTGGAAACAAATCTTTGTGCCATCACTTTTAGCCAGAAAGCAAGCATCAAAGTCTATAATGGAAATATCATGGATCTCTGCCACCTAAGAAGTGAAAGAGCATTCAGACCAGTGTTAGGAAATGTTATGCTACTCCTTTCTTTCTTACTTCTTTGCCTTCTTTCATAATCATTTTTTACCTTTTCTTCTTTCCTCTTCATCTCAATAAGGATCACTTTACTAACATTCTTTTCTAACCAACAAGAACCATGCATCATTGAGCTTCTTAAAAAAGTTGTAGAATTAATGCCAAACACTATTATACAACTCTGAGGAAACTGAAGAAAGTTATGTAATCAAAGTGATCAGGGATGCTCTCCAACAGCATTATTTTGCTACTTAACAATGTATGGCACCATATCATCATCATCATCATCATCATCATCATCATCATCATCNAAGACTTAGAATTTCTGTCCTTTCTTTATCATACTTGTAACAGTTAAGTAATAGATGACTTATGTCTTGAATGCCGCTACCACAATCGCATACTTCTGATTGCCTTTTACCGATTTTCTTTAAGTATGAGTAGCAATTCCCATGGCCTGTATATAGTTGACAATTGATGTGATCCATAGGGAGCCAATTGAGTTCTTTGACTCGTTCTTCCATGCTTGGTATTAACCAAAACGTGTGTCTTCCTTTCTGAGAGTATGATCTCAGTAGTGACAGTGATGCTTTCTCATAACCTCCCGACCTACTATCTCAATTTCTCCAAGTCAATAAAGCCAGCAACTACAAGTTTAGGCAGTTTTCGCCAGTCACTCTTGGATTTGTCATCAAAATTTTCATATGTCAGTCCCAATCGTACCCTGTCGGATTTTCACGTTACCTTCAACTGTGCCTAGAAGAATAATTTTTTTGATCCAGACTGGTCCAGAATGATCCAAATCCAAACCCTCAAGATCTTAATCTCAACCTCAAATCAAGAATCATCTCCATCAATGCAGGTATTTCCCAACTCACAAACAATTGTAAACTCTCTCTCACATGATTGCTAGATAGATAGGTTAAGTCGATATATTGTATCATGTATTCCTCTTTGTTAAAAATAAATGGTTATTTAGTTGTTAACTTTCGTATCTGAGTATTTTACTTGCAGTACTTTGTCTCTCAACCCATCTCCTTCTGGATCCAAACACCCATGCATGTGGCCGCTCATGTGACCAAATCAACATGCCATCTTGGCTTCCATGTCAATCGGAACACAGTGGTGTTAGTCCTGAAGAGGCACTAAAGAGGTGTCGACTCTCCGGTCACATAAACTTATAACTTAACATATAAACTAATAAAAGTTTATTCTATTGTGAAATATTAATGATGTACTTTTTTCTTTGCTTTTCTTTGCATCTACTAGTTCTAGATTTTTATTTTTCATCTTTCTACATTTCTATTAACATTGGATTCATCTAAATAACTTTTTTAGTTTTTTGAAAATACTTTTTTAAAAATAGTTAAAAAGAAAAAATTAAGCTTTAAAATTATAAGTCTTTTTTTGTCAATGTCTATTTCCATTTATTCCAAAATGCTAAGATCAATACAAATTCGAGAAATATTTATTACATTTAATTATTTTAATTAAATTTGTTCCTCTCTTACAGATTTTACTAACTTTAATTAAAATTAATTCTTATGTGAATTAATAATTTAATTTGGATGTATACCATGCTATTAATTTCTTATACAAGTTTTTACAATGTGATTGTTTAAGATTAATAATTCAGTTTTAAAAATTCTTTATATAATTATTCAAATAGTTATTATACCTGAAATGTTAAGTAAAACAAAAATAAAATTAATTTACAATATATGCCATCATATAAGCCAATCTAAATATTTTCAGCTCAAAATTCTAGTTTGAATCTATACCATCATACAATAGACTACCATAGGCTCTAGCCTATGAATTAATATTGAATTATACTACTAATTACTATTGAAACATGAATATGTTTTATGGTAGCCTATTGCAAAAATATCAACTATTACCTTTTATAGTTCATATAAAGGGCACAAAGCAACTGTTAAAAATCTTCAGTAAGTTATCTTAGTTGGAATTTTATTATACATCAGATTTACTAGTACACACATTCAAGGGTAAACGTTCACATTTTATACCCACCATACAAATCAACTTCTAGTTTTAGAGAGATTTTTGAGGTTTAAAAAGTCACTCATATGTTGACATATACAGTAAATTATAAAATATTATTTAAAATATTTAACTAAACATAATCTAATGTAAAACTAAAAAAAATGTTTATTTTAATTTATATAAAAAAACATTATTGAACTTACTTTAAATAATTAATTCTACTGGTATTAGCTAAATAATTCAATAGCCAAAATGTAGCTTCTTTATTACTGTTAATTATTGTCTCAATACAATTCACCCATTCTGTCATCACAGTACTAAAATAAAACATTCAGAACAAGGAAGTATCAGCAGTAAATTTATTAAATTGCTATTAAATATTTAAAGAATATTCTCTAACACAATTTTTTATCTATAATAATAAACAAAAATAAATTAAAATTCAAATAATAAAAATATAAACCATTATGAAAATCAAAACAATGTATGTATAAAATACAGTAGAGTCCTGTACAACATGCAAATAAAGCAAGCAACACCCTCGAATTTTGTCCATCAGAGGTATACGTTTTTTTTTTCAACTTATAGGCCAAGGTTTAAACTTTCATAAATTGTGTGATAATGCAGGTTTTGATAACGTGATTACTTATAATGAGTAATGAATCCCCACATTGTACGGGACTCTACTGTATAAATATTGGAACTTCCAAATCAATATTTAACCTATAATCTATTTATTATTGTTATTATTATTTATTCATTTACCTTCCAATGCATATATATATATAGAAAGATAATGATGTTGATATTTTTTTTTTAATATTTCAAATTTTCAAGTAAATCCAAAATTATTAATTTAAATAAAAACTTAATGGCATTAAAATGAAAACGTAGACAGTGAATAATATTCATCCTCTATGTTTTCATTCTAAATGATGAGGCAATAGCATAAAAAAATTTTCATAATAGGACATTTCATTTCACAATAACTAATTTTTTTCTTTCTGGCTTTTTAAAGCTCTACTTAGATAATAATGCTTTCTATCTCCTCTCCATTCAGACACTCATTATTATTTATTTCTGTTGACTATAATTTACATTGTGCACTGAAGCAAATCAGAATCACAGTAAATAATATATTCCATTTAAATATTGTTATTTCATTAATTAAACTTTTTTCATGGAGTTTAATCATGTGAATTTAAACATGTGAATTTTTGACTATTACATTAAAAATTACTAAAACGTAAATGAAAATTAACATGTTAATTACAATTACATAATTAGAAATTGTTAGTGTAAATTGTAGCATTATATCAATACTTTGCAATAAATGATAAAAGTGCAATGCAAATTAATCATAACATATGAAATCAAAAAATTGATTTACACTAGTTTTCACTCTAAAACATTTAAATGATTATAATCAGTGAACAAACAAAGCAAAAAAATATGTAAACAAGCTTAAATTTTTTTTATTTTATAAAATGCTAATAAAGTTTAAGACTAGTTTGTCAGAAAATTCTCATTGCGTCCTTAGCTCAAGAAATATGCAATTGCAATTATTCTGAACATTTGATTAAAAAGATTTTTTTTTATTGGTTTCTAGCTTATGAATTTTTTATTTTCAAATCACATGGGGCTATCCAAAAATTATGTAATTCAGATACAGTAATTGGGTATGCAGGTAATCATTACAATGCATTACAAGGATGTGTAGTATACAAAAACAATATGTAATACTAGGATTGCAACTCTTAGATAACAGAATAATTTGTTTTTGTTTCTGAAGTGTTTTATGGCAATTGTACTGTTTATGTCACTGCTTTGTACATAATACTTGTAATTAATAAAACAATGTAATGCTCTGTATCCCCATCTGTGAAATATTCAATTTGGGAGTATGTGTGACAACAATATGAAGTGTGACAACAATATGAAGTGTTACAAGAAGATGGGATGATAGTTGAAAATAGCATTATGTAGTTAATGGATGATTCCATATTTACTACTTTTTAGAAATTATATAAAATAATGAATGTAATTTGTCCTTCTGAATTAAATTGCATTTTAATCCAATATTTTGTCAAGAAATTCAGTTTTATCAATATCCATCACTAATTTACTAATATTTATTAAATTTTAAATAATATCTACAATATTTATGTTTAATAATTTATCTTCGCTCTTTTTATTTAAAATTTATAAATAAATTATATATAATGCTGTATTCTGATTAGAATGAACACATTGAAACATTCCATACAATCTGGAATTGTAATTGTAAGCAAAGTTAACGAGGTGTGACTTTTTTGTTCACAAACTAATATAATATTCTTTTATGACAACAATTTTCTCTTATTTTATTTTAATCTGAAAGTTATCTGATATAAATGAATAGACACTGATACCCAGAGATTCCTTTAGGTATAATTTCTCTTCTCAAATAATAGAATCAATTTTCTAATTCTAATTACTAAAGAAAAAGATATTCTATAAAGGAAAAAAATGTAATAAAACTTATAATTGGTATACTGAATTAAAACTGGTATACAAAATAATAATTATTTTTTCTTTTTAGATTGAAAATTAAAACATGAATATTGTACTAATATCCAGTAAGGCAGTAACGTAACACATTAGCTAAATATATACTCAAATATTATGTGAAAAAATTACTCAGCATATGATAAACATCAATTAAGTATAACACCAATACTAATTATCTTTTCAACAGAATTTTTCTTGTCAATAATATATAGAGTATATAAATGATACAATGCCATTTAATTTTTAATTTTTCAAAAATTCTAATAAATATGTTTTACCAATAATATAATTGAAATATAAAAAAGTCATAAATTTTAAATTCTTTATTATAAAAAATATTTAACATTTTCATAACTTACTAAAATTTAATTTATAAATTTCTTTTTAAACATAATTTTAAAAAAACTAACCTGATCTTCCTTTTATAACGTAAGTAAGTATTGAAAAGAAAATTGACACTTAAATTTAAACTTTCAATCATTAATTTGGGATAATCAGAAAGCTTTGAATTTCCCTAAAATAATAAATTTAAATCAAATAAAAAGAAAAGCTTTATTAATTTTTAAAATATTAAATTTTTACTTACAATGTTGCAAGTAACAACTTGCTGTATGAAACTAAAATATGAATTGCTGTAAATGTCTCGATTGTGCATAAAAACTAAATTTTCTTCCCTTACTAATTGCTGTATTCTAGCTGGCATTTTATCCAAAAACAGTCCCTGTCTTTCACCTCTGTCAACCAATTGTGTTAGCTGACTTAAGCTATCACCATGTCTATGTGTACCACTTTTTCTTACTGTTCTTTAATGAAAAAATCAAATAATGTAACAAAATAATTTATATTTAGAATTTGAGTTAAAAATATAAAAAAATTTATAATTCTCACTTATTTGGTGTACCAATATTATCTTTCTCAGTTTTCCTGAATGAAAATCGTCCAGGTATTTTTCGAGGTGTTCTTGGTGTTTTTATCGCTTCTTCCATTCTCTCATAAAATAATATATAGCCATTCCAATACCTTTGTCGAATCTCAGGATAAGAATTACCTGAAATTGCATATATGTTACAAAAATGCTGTTATTAAAATTATAATAAATAAATCATATATAAAAATTATACAGTGTATATTTCAACAAGTGTTGAAAAAACAAAAATAAAGAGTTTTATTTATTTCTTTGCTGTTTTTTTAAAATATAAGTAAACATATCTCTTATGTTATTTCTATAATATACAAAATTGAAGTACTTTTTAATTCCTGAAATGTATTTCCTACATTTAACTAAATAAATATGGTAAATAAAATTCTTAAAAGTCTGTGCCTTGGGCAACTATAATTTTTCTCTAATTCTAATATAAATCAAAAGCTGATGATTGTTTTAAATAATTCTTGATTATACTATAATTTTACATATATGTTTTACATAAAATTTAATTTTAAAAATTGCAAAAAAAAAAAAAAATATTTAGTTACCAGAATCTCTAACTTTAGCTTTGTAAGTTCCACCAAAGCATTCTGCTTCCAATGTAATATCATTAAAGTCATATTCTTCAACTGTGGTATCATTAAATTTAAACCATTTTCCAACATTTGCTACATTATCTTGTCTGTTGAATACAAAGTAACAGTTATTTATTAATTTATTAAAACAGAAAATTTTTTAAAAATTATATCAATACAATAATATATCTCAAATGAAAAACTTAGTAATATTTATATTTATAAGCCAAGCTTTTTCATAGATTTTTTTCTGTCAGAATAACATTAAATTACCTTTGAAGCTATATAGTTAAGTAACGGTATCAATATATTCAATCTAATTATAAATTAATATGTTAATAGAAATACTTATAAAAGATAGCAATCCTATAATATAATAATTCTATAGGGTTTTCCATTATGGGTGCTCGAACTTCAAATTTAAATAAAACAAGGTGTGTATGAGATATCATTAATTTTATTTTTTTACTTGAAAGAGTATTCGATTACCTTATGTATGGAATATAATATCGGCCAAATGGCTGCCACGGCTTCGCTGGGTGGCACATATATGAGAGGTCATTTTTGATGACTCGACGGCATAAATTGGGCTTGATATCATTGATGGCATTGGTTATGTTGACTTTTAAGGCATCAATTGTCTGCAGCTTATTCACATAAACCCATGATTTAACATAACCCCATAAGAAAAAGTCTAATGGCGTTAAATCACATGATCTCAGTGGTCAGTTGACATCACTGAAATGTGAGATAACCATGCCATCAAATTTGTCATGCAGAAGATCCATTGTTGCATGCACTGTTGTAATGCCGTCCTGTTGGAACCACATGTCATTGAGATCCATATCTTCCAATTTAGGCCACAAAAAATTGGTTATCATTGACCTGTACCTCTCGCCAGTGACAGTTATAGTGATGCCAGCTTCATTTTGGAAGAAGTACGGACCAATGACCCCGCCAAACCAAAATCCACATCAAACAGTGACTTTTTCTGGATGCATTTGCAACTGATGGGTCTCATGTGGATTGTTATCACCCCAAATGAAACAATTTTGCTTGTTGACATAGCCATTCATCCGAAAAGGGGCCTCGTCACTGAAGATGATTTTCTGTCCAAAATCAAGGTCCACTTCCAACTGCTCCAGAGCCCAGTCAGCAAATGCTCAATGCTGCCTATGGTCATTCAGTTCCTGTGTCAATTGAATTTTGTACAGGTGCAGGCCCAAGTCCCAATGCAAAATTCGTCAAGTTGAGGTCTGCAAAAGGCCAAGTTCTTGGATGCGACGAGGAATTGACTGCCATGGGTTATCCCGCACACACTTGTTCACTGCAGCAATGTTTTCTGCAGACTTCACGTTTCAATGACGTACGGGTATTGTTTGATTTACTGAACCAGCTGATTCAAATTTGGCCTCCAAACGACAAACAGTTGACTCAACAGGATGCACACAATGATCCTGATTGTGTGCACCATAAAAATCACATAGCGCACGAAATGTATCTCAAACTCAGCACTCATTTTGATAGTAAATTTTAATGATTTGCATGCATTGCTCAACACTGTAATTTTCCATAATGATTTGACCAACATTAATTACTATAACCTACAAATCTGACAGCTGTAGTTTCACTAACATGGCCGCTATACACTGGCAAAGTTCGAGCGCTCCTAGCAGAAAACCCAATATATACTGTTATTATGTTCTTTGTCTATTAGTTTTGTTTAAAACATTGTTTTTATTTAGTTTGAAAAGCAATATCTATTAATTTATAAGAGGCATTCAATTAAAAATGGGACACTTGGGTTTGACACCTGCACCTCCTCCTGGATACTATATCAGAAATGGACTACACCATACATTGAACCAATAAGGGCAAATGTTATGTGATTTAAGGCCATGTCAGCTGTCTGCATTGGATTGAAGTTTGTTATTGTCTAAAGTGAAGTATGAAATGTAGTTTAGAAAGCAGTCAAACCCCAGTTTTCAAGTGACTCACTTTTCAAACAATTTGGTTCATGAACAGAATTTTTAACTCATATTTGCCCTAGTTGCCGAATAAGCTACTCAGCAAGAGCCGACCATAGATGACACAGACAGTTAACTCGTTATACTTTCTGTTAAAGAAAGTCAACTGCCCAACCAATCAGTGACATGACTACTGATTTAGAAGTAATACTAAGATCACTGCATCATTACATGTCATCACATAAATCATTGATGACATTGCTATTTAAATTAGATTTCAACGTGCATGCAGAAAAGATACTATTTCTGTTTTTTTGGTATGTGCCACAGTTGAATTTAAATCAAATTAATTAATAAAAACAAAATTAATTGACATTCATGTAATATAAATGGCATCTATTTAAGAATGTGTGTTTAAATATGCTTAAGTTAAATTAAATAACAAAAATTTAGTAACATAATATTATATATTTATTAATATAATATTACATTGCATTTGTAAGCATTCTTATGAATGAAATATAGCTGAAAGGGTAAAAAAAAAGAATTGTTTTGAGGGTCAGGAATAGATTAATCCATATTATATTGTTTCTTATGGAAAAGTTTGTTTTAGTTTTAGAACAAATCAGTTTTTAAACAACTTTTAGGAACAAATTAAGTTTGAAACCTGAGGTCTGACTGTAAAGACAGTGTTGAGCAATGCAGTGTTGAGCAATGCATGCAAATGCATGCAAATCATATAAGTGAGCCATTATATGCTTTCTCACAGCTGAAGACATTTGTGTTTGGGTACCCAATTGAAGAATAGTTGGTGTATATGGGAATAACCATGTCCCTGACATGGATGCAAGAATGGAGTAAACAGTTTCATGAAGCCTGTATATCCTTGAATGATACTTGATCTGGCCAGCCACATGATGTTAGTCAAAATGTTGATGAATTGATCTGTAAATGATCAGGCATCACAATAAGAAAGAAAGGCTGCAGGAGAGCTTTCTTTTTAGCTAAATATCAGTAACAGCTCTGTTCACACAGTTATCAAAGAATTTCAGTACCACAAAATTGCACTCTATAGATGCTTCATCATCTTCATCAATGAACAAAAACCATGTGGATAACCATATCTCTGTAAAATCTGACACACTATCTCACTGAAGGTGTAGAATTTCTTTCACATGATGTTGTTGGAAACAAATCTTTGTGCCATCACTTTTAGCCAGAAAGCAAGCATCAAAGTCTATAATGGAAATATCATGGATCTCTGCCACCTAAGAAGTGAAAGAGCATTCAGACCAGTGTTAGGAAATGTTATGCTACTCCTTTCTTTCTTACTTCTTTGCCTTCTTTCATAATCATTTTTTACCTTTTCTTCTTTCCTCTTCATCTCAATAAGGATCACTTTACTAACATTCTTTTCTAACCAACAAGAACCATGCATCATTGAGCTTCTTAAAAAAGTTGTAGAATTAATGCCAAACACTATTATACAACTCTGAGGAAACTGAAGAAAGTTATGTAATCAAAGTGATCAGGGATGCTCTCCAACAGCATTATTTTGCTACTTAACAATGTATGGCACCATATCATCATCATCATCATCATCATCATCATCATCATCATCATCATCATCATCATCAAATAAACATTATTAAAGTTCAGGCTATTTACTTTTATACTTCATTTTGATTCATTATAAACTATTTGAATAAATATTAAAATTTATAAAAGCTATCAAATAATTGTTTCTTTATAATATTTTAGATCTCATGTAAAATTAAATTAAGTGCATAATTATACAATTACTTTTATAATTTTATATTTTTAAATAATAAATTATAATTAAAGATGTTGCAAAAAGAAAATTTTTTAATATAATAAATTTTATTAAAAAGTTTTTGTGAAAATAATTAGTAATTCAACACATTAATATTTCAACAAATAAAATTCAAGAGTTAACTACAAATAAGTTAATTAATGAAAGCCATCTGTTGTTATTATTTTTTAATAATATTACCTTCTTTCTTTGATATAAGAATAATAATGTCCTGCATTAGCTTGTCCACTATGAACAACTACACCAACAAGTTCATATATAAAACTATTTGCTTTTATATTTGACTTAATGGCTTCATTTCTCTCTTCATTCTGACCTTTCAATAACTCTTCTTCATGTATACCATCAGCTGTATATGGATTCATCTCTAATAACCAAGGAAACTGTAATTAAATGAAATCAACAAATAATATAAATTTTCTGCAAAACTGAATATAATTCAATAAAATTTATTATAACTTTCAAATAAATATATAAATATTCTAACCTTAAAATAATCATCAAATTTCATAGCTCTGTTTGCCTCCCAATCATATCCAAATCTTTTTAATTGAATCACAAGAACTGGTGGTAATGACTTTATACATGTCCTTTTAATTGTATTTCTCTAAAATTATATTAAAAAGTATAATTTTAAAACTGTTTTTGAAATCACAATAGATTTATAGAGTTTGAATTTACCTTTTCTCCACATTTTTCACAAAAATAGGCATTGTCTCCTTCTAACAATTCTCCTTTCACAAACTGATCAAGTGAATCCAATAAATTATGGCTTTTCACAGGTAAATTAAGTGCAGTAAATGTTTCCTCTCTTTCATATCTTAATTCACATATAATTCAAAAATTCAATAATTAACTTCATTATTTAATTGAATTATCTTCATGCAAATTGTAAAATAAATAAATAATTGCAATGAATATTTTAAAATTGTTAAAAAATTCCTAAAACATTTGCTTATGTCTGTAATTTTAAATAATTACCAAAATTAGAACTTACCTGTGGGGACATCCCTGACATATTTTTTGATCGGAAAATGATCCTTCATATTTTGCCTTAAAAATGGGTTCCCAACCATTTTTACTCAAATATTCATCTAGCTGATCAATCAGATGGGTGAAAAATTCAAAAGCATCTTGTTGTTCTCTTACATTTATAGGTTGACCCCATAATCTAAAATACTTCCAAAATTTTTCTGGAATATGGTATTGTAATTGTGATTCCAACAAGTGGCCAAACATCAGTTGAAACTGATAAAAAAGGCTGAAAATTAATAATAATTTATATTAATTAAATTAAGTTATAACAAAACAAAACTGCATTACATTATCAATATGAATGAATAAAACTAAGTGTGTATAATGATTATATTTGTATTTAATTATCCAATTGCATACTTTGTAAAATGTTAATCTCTTCAAATAAAGTTATAAACAAAATAGCACAACTTGATTGACAAGAATTAAAATCCAAAATATTTATTTCCTCTGTTTAATTTTTAAAAATATCTCTATATTGATTTATTCGTTAAAATTTCTCATTTAAATATCATTCTTTACTATGACAATTTTTTGAAAAGATGATAGTTTTAAAAATATCTTTGAATAAATATTTGTTTGAAAATTGCTAATAATTGCATTGTATAATTATAACAAAATATTTTTACATTAATTATTATTTTATAAATATTAGTTACCTTTCTTCATCTATATCTCCCTCATCAACTGACAAAATAGCTTCTCTTACCCCAGGTTGCATATATAATTGTTGTATGACAGAATTCATGTAGCATGTGGCACCAGCATTTTTTAGACCAACATAACCAGAAGCTAAACGTCCTGCCACTAATGGTTCATACTATTTGAAAAAATTTTACTGAATAATTTTTAAAATTTTAATTATTTACAGTGAGGCTCCTGAAATCAAATAATACTTTTTTTGCTCAATAGCATAAATGTTTTTTCCTAGTTTCATTTGTTTTAATTCAGTTTTAACTGATCACATATTAAATAATTTACAAACTCAACAATTAATAGAAGATTTTAGGTGCCTTACTGTGATTAAAAAATTCATAATATAAATTTGTTATTTACAAACAAAATAATCAACATTAATAATCTATTATATACAATTTTCTTCAAGTCTAGGCTGATCTGAAATTTTGATAAATACAATACTTTAACCTGAAATTATCATATTTCTTTGATTCTAAAATGCTATTGATTTGAAATTGAATTTTAAGAATTTTCTTTTATGAAGGAAAAACTATTAAATAACAAATTTATTTTGTTAAGTAACAAGTTAGAAAAACAACACAATACAATGGAACAGATAATTTTTTGCAACTCTATTTCCATGCCACTCTGAATACACATAATAACTATTCATTTTAATGCTGTATCATAAAGCCATCTTTATGACTTCCTGTACGTTAAAAAGAAGTTTAAATTCAACATGCATTATCAGCAGAGCTCATTTGAACTGATGTGAGTGTTGAATAGTATAAACAAAAAGTTTATTATAAATGCATAACACTAGGTGAGTTACGTATCTTGTAATGTATGTTGACTGTTGTTTTAGACTGTAACAGTAAAATGCCTTTGATTCTAAGACACAGCTCTATTTTGGTTTACTAAAAATGGATAAAATAATGTGCATCTTAGAATCAAGAAATACAAAATCCATTATTTTGATATATAATGCATTGATGTAATTATTATTGATGATTTTGAAACATTATTATTCAGCAATTATCAAATATTTTTTCATTCTTATTAGAAACAACTTAATGTTAAATGTTATTTTATTAATATTTCAATTGCAATTTATCACTATTTTGCAAAAAAATCAAAATATTTTTTTCAGTTTTTGCTTGTCAAGAAGAGATAAAATCTTTCCTTTTCATCTTTTCATTTTATGAAAACTAATTTTCTTTATTACCTGATATCAGCTATAATTATTCAAAATATTTTTAAAAGTAAATTTTAAAAATTTTTACTTCATCATCTACTTCTTGAAATATAAAATGATATGTAAATAATGTAAATACAGTAGCCCCTCGTTATATTACACTTGTCAGGAGACAAACAAAAAACTTGATATAACCAAGTACTAAAAATCCTGGGTTTTTACTAAACAATTATATCTGAGAATACAGGCGAGGGTTAGCCCTCTAATCATTAAGTTGAGAGACCCGCTCACTTTGTCAGTGGATGGCGAAATTTATAAATGCTGTCAGAATAGTAATATCCTTCTGATATCAGGAATCGACACCAGCTAGAATAGGAATTCACACCCTAACATGTGATATTAAGATCTATATTTAAAAGGAGGTCTGTATAATTATCGAGTGGTATGTTGCGGGTAAGTTCCAATTGTAGGCAGTTCGAATGTCAGTATTCGACCAAGTAAACAGACAGGTTAACAAATAATAAACAAAAGTTTAATGAATAAAAGTAAAGAAATACATAAAGAAATAATCTATCACTAACTCAATGCCTAATCATGTACATCTCTAAACACAGAGAGAGAGTTTACAAAAGGTTCTAATTATAATATCTCTGGGCTAGCTGATTTGTTTCAGTTGATGTAATCCAAATGATATGTGGAAATGTCTTCAAATATGGAAACAGAGGAAGGCTAGAGAGTAGCGAGACGGGTCTTCAATGCCTGACTGATTCGGCTATGCGGGAATCTTCTTATGACTATCCTCTTCTATGTCTCTTCTTCTACGGGTCCTCTCCCTCAGTGGTCGTCCTGGTTATCGTCATTGGCTCCCTACCACTATGGCAGCTTTTTATTATTGTTGACTGCCCTGAGAATATGATTTCTCTGCTTTTTTTTCCAAATTTCTCTCCAATTGGGTTTTAGTATTCATAACAACTGACAGGATATATTTCTGACGCAAAGGGACAGATGTTCGTAGAGATGTGTGAAAACATCTTTCCCAAAGGAAGTTTTGCTTCTCTTCCCACAAAAATTGACAAAATGCATCATTTTTGATGTTAAAATGTTACTTTAAATTGTTGATTAATTGAATAAATTTTTAACTGATTAAATTAAATTGTTCTCTATTCCTGAATTCTCACATATACATACGATGGAATTTCTATCCCCAATTCTTCATCAGCAAGTGTTTCTGATATAAAATAAGCTGTTTTGCAATACTCAATTTAATTCATGGTTATATCATATTAAATGTTTACATAAACATTGAAACCATGATGTTTATGCTAAAAGAGAGTGAATGGACAAATGGATGTATCAGCCAACATTTGAGTCAAAGTGATGCAGCAATTAGATGATGCTGACATGAATGGGTATTGAATGGCAAGTCCGGAGAAAAGTAGGCAGTGGACAGCCTAGAACAGGGTTGTCCAACCTTTTTTCCTAATGGGCCAAATTATAAATTTATGTATATTCAGCAGGCCACAAAGGAACTTTATATAAATATAATTTTTTAAAAAGTTCAAAATGTGATTATCAAATTTTAATAACAAATATATATAATTACAAAAAATACCATATTATTTATTGACAGTAAAAAAAGAAATTATACTCACACAAAATAAAAATAAATTCAATGAAATTTTTGACATTGCCTTCCTTTTATAATATTGTCAACATCTGCTTTTATGATACTAGTGTTAACTGTAAGCATGTTAGTTAAATGGGAATCACTCAATCTACTTCTTTCAGCAGTTTTGATGTTTTTCATGTATGAAAAGAATTGTTCACAACAGTATGTACTACCCCACATGCATAACAGTTTTCTAGATAAAACAATTTTCTAGTAGCAATTACATCACTATGACATAAAAGTGTGTCCAGTGAAACGAGAATAATTTCTACAACATACGTTACCAAAGTAAATGAAAATGTACCTAAAAAATTTAGGGTGCAATGGGCTGCATAAAATATTAAGTGGGCCACTTAATATTTTAGTAGATAATAATAGGCCGCAGGCTGGACATCCCTAGCCTAGAATGATCACAGAACAGAAAGATGGGATGATTGTTTGAGCAGCTTTAACTTGTCCCTATCAATCATTCAATGTGTGTGACCAATGCCAAAGCAGTACACTCACAACCTCCATTATACTGGCTGCCACTGACCCTTAGGCATCATCAAGAATGATTGCAGTGGTGTCAGGTTCGATTAACATAAAACTGTTCTGATTGAAGATGAATTATCTTCACTAACAAGTCCTGTTTCAAACTGAGTTCCAATGACAAACATAGATGTGTATGGAGACATTCTGGCCATTGCCAGAATCCTGCTTTTACTGTCAAATGCCACAAAACCTGACAACAAGAAGTTACAGTTTGTGGCACCATTTCTTTTGGTAGACAGATCCTCTTAGTATAGTCCATGGTACACTCACAGTCCAGCAATACATTAACAGCACTCTGAGATCTGCTGTGATAACATTCCTTTCACAGCACCCAGGGCAAACTTTTCAATGTCCACCCACATATGGCATGCCTCTCATGTAAATGTCCTTGTAATCATGACATCCTTTCTTGGCTAGCCAGATCTCTCTCCAATTGAGCACATTTTGCACTTATTTAGGTGTCACCCACAACCATCTGGAAATGGTGATGACTTAGCCCATCAATTAAACACTGTTTGGCAAGAAATCCTAAGAACACCATCCATCAACTTTACAATCAAAACAACATCAATACAATCAATACAAATCAATACAACATCAGATAACAACTTGTATTCAGGTAAGAGGTGGGCCAACATCTTGTTGACTTCCTCACTTTTTGTAGCTCTTTCTCTGGAATAAATCATCCAACTGTTTCAAAATTGTAAAAATTTCTTTTTTTGTGCATGTATAATAAACATACCAAATTTTTTTCCAGTTGGATAAATTCTTTCTTGGTGTGTCAATTATTTTTTTTCAAAGAATGTATTTAAAAATAAAGAAATGCAATTAAGGAGGTCAATAGAAAAAGGTAACTAAGTAATATTTTGATGTTTTCAGGAATTCTCAAAAAACTATTCTTTTTGCATGAGGTTTGTTATGAAGTAATTAAAGCCTAAATGTTAAATACACTTCAGTAAAGTTCTTATCATACAAAGAAAATATCCATATCAATAAAACTTATTTAATAAACATAACAAAATACTTAACTGAAAAAGGTATCTAAGTGTTCTTGATTTGTCAGAAAATCAGCAATTTGAGAAAACTATTATGATCATGTTTACATGGAAAACAATTTCTGCTTTCCATAGTAAAGACATTTTTATCCAAATATTTATAAAGTAATGAATATCATCATAACTAAGTTTTGTGAGCCCTGATCTTTAGAAATAAATTATAAATATTAAAAAAATGTGAATAAAATCTAACTTTAACATTTTTTTTTCCCGGAAAATTCAGAAATAAAACATTTTCAAATTCCCAATCAAAAATGAAATGATAAATTAATTACTTTTTATTTCATATCTCCAATAATATTAAAAATTGGCTGACATAAGAATAGTAGAAAAGCACAGCAAATAAAAACATTTTTAAAAAATAGTAGGAGGTTCAGGCAAATATATTTAAGAATTTCAAGTATATCTACCATAAAACTTTATCCTTGGCACTATCCTTGAAATAAAATTAAAAACAAACTACTATTACTTATGCTATTCTGCCTGTTTAATTTGTTCTATATATGATAATCAAATTTCAATCAAAAACATTTTTTTTTTTAAATTATTTATTTATTAACCTAAACTTGGCAGTCTGTATTGCAAAAATGAATGTCAACATTGTTTTTTTAATTTAATAAATTAAATTTATGATACAGTTATAAAACAAAAACGATTATATATATAAAATTAATCATTTACTTAAATTATCAATTTATTTATATTAAACATCTAGTAAATGATTCTAGATTAAAAGTTCACAACTACTTTAATTACCTCATATTCCTTCACAAGTTCTGGTTTTAAATAGTGATGCATTTTTATTAAATAGTTGACAATTTGTTCCATGTTTTGTAAACATTCTTTGGCTAATTCAACTAACAATTCATAAGCTGAAACTCTTGATTCATTACTAGAACATCTAGAAAAATAAATAACTTGAAATTTTCATAGATACAATAAAATTTGAATTTAATTTGATAATCTTTTAAAATTTGAAAATAAATAACATTTATTCTAAATTGTTATTTAAAATACAATCATCTTTATCAAATGCAAAATATATGATATCAAAAAATGTCACAATAATAATAATTAGTCCCCAGATTTTCTGGATTTATCTGAGAATCTGAGGATAGTTCCAAAAATAACACATTTTGCTTCTAACCAACGAAAATGAAGTTTTTACATTTTTTGAACCAAAATCAGAAAAATTTATTGGATTTTCTTGCAATTTTTTAAAATACATTCATAATTTTCAGAAAAATACTGTCATGTATGCAGTCCTTGATGCCATTCTAGGTACCAAAAAAACCATTTTGAATTTCAGAACAAAAGCAGACACACCTTCTGATATGTTGCCAGGTTGAATTACATTATGCCAAATTTAGGGGTTTTTTTTAAATTGACAAAAATAAAAATTATTAGCATCTTAGCTATCTTTTGAGTTAATTTAATTTTATTCAGTAACTTTTTGGTTACTTTCTAAATACATTATTGGTGACATTTCCTAAGACCTGACAACAGTGTGAAGTGCAAAAGTGTGCGCTGCCTTGAGCTTTTATATTCGGTTACAGACTAAGAAATTTAATGGGTAAGCATAAAAGTTCTGTGCATGAACTTTTGCTGAAATGGATGAAGGGAGCGAAGTTAGCCAAGAGAGACTTCACAATGGATGGCTCAAAAATGTTCTGCCATGTATCTCAAAATACATTTGTGTGCATGAAGAAATCACATTTTGAGGATCATGTGCATTCTGCAAGACACATGCAAGCAGCACATCAACAGGATCGAACATCCCAGATGCTGCTCACAAAAATGGAATCTCAGGATCAAGGAAATATATTTTTCTTAGATACAGCAAGAACCCTTATAGGATGTAATATAGAATTACATAAACTGAAGCATCCCTTGTTGAGGAAGTACTTAGAAAAATACACAAAGCAAAATCTTCCCGATAAATCAACACTGTAGAAGAATTATCTTCCACATGTTCACCACAAAGTGCTTGAAGAAATCCACAAAGAAATGAGTGACAATGCTATATGGTTTGCTGTAGATGAAACTACAGACTCGTGTGGATGATATGTTGCTTCAATGATAGTAGGAAAACTTGATGAAAAAGACTGAGCTAAAATTCATCTTTTATACAAATTTCTGGAGAGGACAAATGTAGAGGTGATAGCAAGATTTGTTCAGGAAAGTCAAATATTATTGTGATACTCTGAATTTTAACAAAAATCAATTGTCAATGTCATCATACTTGCTCAACAATTGTTGTCCTCAGCTATCTGGGAAAATCTCCCCTTACATTTTCTCAATGGTGAAAGTGACACATTCCTGTGATCTGCTGACCTCTTAACTGGACGATGTAGCACTAATATTTGACAGCCAAAAAAGTCAGTCGTTGCCAGTCGCTCTTGAATTAAAGTCATCAAAATTTTTCCTGTGTCAGTGCAAATTTCTGTGCTCAATCAGTACTCTGTCGAATTTTCACGTTACTTTCCACTGTGTCTAGAACTTTCTTGATCCAGACCAGTCCAATGATCCAAATCCTCACCCTCAAGATCCTAATCTCAACCTCAATTCGAGAATCCCAAATCAAGAATCATCACCATCAACACAGGTATTTCCCGACTCGTGAACAATTGTAAACTTTCTCTCTCGCAATTGCTAGCTAAATAAGTTAACTTGATATATTGTATTATGTATTCCTCTTCGTTGAAAATAAACAGGTATTTAGTTGTTAACTTTTGTATCTGAGTATTTTACTTCCAGTACGCTGTCTCTCAACCCAAATTTAGATCTCGGATCTGATTGCCAGCACACGCGGCCACTTGCATGACCGAATCAACACACCATCTCAGCTTCCATGTCAATCGAGACACAATGGTGTCAGTCCTGACAGGGCATCGAAGAGGTGTCGACCCTCTGGTAATATTATTGTGGCAAGATAAATTTTTCCAAAATACTGAAAAAGTTCTCGTCATGCTTACAGATGGTGCAGCATACATGAAGGCTGCTGCACACATTTTGAAGTCTTTTTTATATAATCCGATTCACATAACTTGCCCTAAATTACATTTTACATCTTCTAACCGAACAAGTTCATTTACATTTTAAAGATGTAAACGCCCTCATTTTTTCTGACAAGAAAGTAGTTGCAAAGGCACCAATGCAAGTTGCTATGTATCATCAGCATCTGCCAGATTTTTTTAAAATGGCATGTTTTTTCTATGCTACCTTCAAAATTTTTTAAATTATAACATACAAAATAAATAATATATCCCAAATATTCAAAACAGGATTTTTTTATATTTAGCTTTATAACTATCATAATTACTCTGAAATTGCACGTGACAATTAATTAAATGATATAATTTAAAGTATACACATTATATCAAAAAATTTTCTTTTCAAAATGTTATTTACCTTGGTGTGAGAGGAATACTATTACTGTCATTCCCATGAGATATTAAATGTGAAGCAGGAAATAAAAATTTATTTAATAGATCTGGAATCAATATTTTTCCTACCAATAAAAAAAAAAAAACAATGTAATATATAAATTAATAATAAAATTTAGTTTCAGCAATAACTAAATACATTATTTTAATCATACGTTAACATTTATTAAGTTTATTCCATTGCAGTTACTATAATTATATTACCGTATTTAGCTTTAGAAAATAAAAGAAAATAAAACTAATTTAAGTTTTATTTAAAATTTTAAGTTTTATTTATTTAAGTTTTATTAAAATTTAAGTTATTATAAGTTCCCAAATTTAAGTTTAAAAATAAAATTCAGTCTTGAAATATTACAAAAGTATCAGCATACAGCTGTAAGTCACACTTTAAACAGATCTTGATTTTCAGTTTATAAATTAAGAGTAATCTATGAAAATGTACACAAAGTAAAAAATTATCAAACATTTAAATTTTATTTTGGATATTTTGTTTTTCCATCATAGAAAATATGAAGACACTACTTTTCATGATCAATTAAAATCAAGACCCTTAACACAATGATTTCTTGTTTACAGCTGTAGCTAAGAAAAAATAGTCAAGTAAAAATTTTAAAAAAATCATATTATTACACTGTATAGATTAATACATAATAATAGTTCTATAAGTGCAATGTAGCGTAATAACGATCACTTGGCACTATTAACTTCTTTATTTCACTTTTTGTTGATACGCGTTTACACATGTTTCGGGCCTCATTCACCCCTCCTTAGTCAACTTAAAAACATAAATGCCATCCTTAGGTGTATATTACCACAAGCAGGAGCCATACAATATACATTGGATTGCCTCAAATACTAAGCCCAAGACTTAACTTTAGTTGGAATACATAAGACTTATTTATAACAGCTTTGACTTTCACGACCAGGTTTTTTGAATTTGAAGATCCCTCAAATTTCATAAAATACATTCCTAGGAGACCTTCAGAGATGTAAAGGAAAAACTAGAATAGACGTGTAGCACAGTTCTTTCTTCTTTAATGTTAATAACTGTTCATACATAATTCACAGAACTGAACTTCTTTTTGACTAATCCTTTTTTGTTCGTATTTAATGTTAGTGATAGTTCCTACATAATCGATGGAATTAAACTTCACTTTGGCGAATCTTTTTACTCATCTGTCAGCACTGTTCTTCAGTTTCCCGTATGCTACTACTAGCATTTTTCCTGTATGGTGATTTGCATAATCATGCATTCTTTTGAAGTGGCAAGCCAAGGCTTTCCATTTGAGGCAATCCAATGTATATCATATGGCTCCTACTTGTGGTAATATACACCTAAGGATGGCATTTATGTTTTTAAGTTGACTGAGGAGGGGCAAATTAGGCCCTAAATGTGTGTAAATGCATATCAACGAAAAGTGAAATAAAAAAGTGAATAGTGCCAAGTGATCGTTATTACGCTACATTGCGCTTATAGAATAAATAAAAAGAACTACACAGTTTCAAAGCATGGTACATAATAATAGCTCAATTTTTCAAATTTTGCAATTATTTACAACAAATTCTTAAAGAATTATAAAACAATATTAGATTACATATTAAAAGATCCATGTATTGCCATATCTAAATGACAAAAGACTCATTTAGTTTTAGAGTTTAATACTAATGATTATTAATCATGATTATCTTTATTCATTAATCAAATTAGAAACCATTCTCTCTTCCTCTCTAGGTTGTCAAATCAAAAATATACTCTCATCTAATATTATAAAGGGAATAGAAGAGCTTTGAAAGCATTATCAAAGTCAGATAGGATTATCTAATTAACTCTTAATAACAGAAAAAACGTTTTCATTTAAGTATTTTTTAGCTTTTTATGTTGTGTTATGTTAATAATTTTTCATTGTTTTCATATTGAAAAAGACATTTGAAATATTGATCAAACATTATATTCAAAATTAGTCAGTATTCAAAAATATTATTAATTTTTTCATTTTATTCTTTTTGGTAAGAGAATAGAGCAAGCAATACTTCAGATTATGATATTAAAGGAAGAATCAAAACTATTAATCAAATTAGAAAATTATTTATAAAATCATATTACCAATAACAGAAAGACTAATCATTATGATCTGTGATTCTGAGAATAAATTAAAACAGACAATAAAAATACAGTAATTTAAAACTAAAATACAAATTAAAATACTGTATAGCAATTATAGTTTTAATGTCAATAAGTTAAAATTTATTTTAATAATGTTTTGTGTACTATTTTTAAATTACTTGTCAACATAACAAAAAAATAGTGCTTTAAATATTTTAAACATTATTAAGGATTTTGATTTTTTATCTTCATTGTATTATATCATGTGTTACATAAAGGTTTTTTTAAACATCAAGCATTGCTTTCAAAACAAAAATTTCCAAAAAAATTAAGGATTTTAGAATAATTGTATTTGACTGATATATGAGGTGTGTCATTCCAAAGTGTGTCCTATCTCCTTTCATTTAATTTTCAATATTCAATAAAGTCTTTTAAAGCTTTAAACTTGACATCACTAACATTAATTTATAAATAAACTTGTAGAATGCTATGAGACTTTAAACAATAAATACATTCTATTGATGGTTCTTTACAATAGTATTCAGACAGCACAGATAATCCAAAACTTAAAAGTGCCATTTGGAATGTGATACCCCTCATATACATGTATAAGCTTAATTATAGGATTATAATTATTATTATGATTCTGTTTTTGCTATAAGTAAATGAATAAATAAATAAATAAATATATATATATATATATTAAATTCTTACCAATTTCTTTTTTTTGAATCTTTTCACATGTTAATAATGTCTTAATTAAATTAAAATGACCTGCTAATAATGCATTATCTGCTACTTGTAAATCAGGATTACATGAAGATGAAAACCCTTGTAACCAAGCAATTTCATCTTCAACCATTTGTTTTGCATCAATGTGCAGCATTTGTTGTTCCATGACTATAAACAAAGAAAAAAAACCATTTTTATTCAAAACATAAAACAATTTTATCATTCTTTATCAATCATATCTCTACAAAATTCAAAATTCAAGAAAAAACTTTTCATAACCTTTGATTTATTATAAATTCTATGCATACACATAAAATTAAGAACTTACTACTCAAATCTTTTAATATTCTGCAGACAAATTCAAAATATTCTCTGCATTGGCTTAACAATCTGTAAAAATAACAAATAAGATTGCCTCAGTATTTCTTATATAATAATAACAAAGCATATAAGTATACAACTAGTATACAAGTATAAGTATAAGTATACAACATATAAGTATACAAGCATAATTAATTCATATCAAGCAATAAAGATAAGAAAAAAATAGCTAGAATCAAACTTGTATTTTTTAAAAATACTGTAAAATTGAGAAAACACCATACATAAGATTATAAATAGTTCTACAAAGTTTATTATACATCATTGTAATGTATATAATTATTTGTGTATAATAACTATAATCTATAGTTGAACTTCTTTATTAATAAGATCTACATTATGCCATTTTCTTTCTGATAAATTTTTCTATCAAATACTTAAAGCACATCTTTTCTTGCATTTAAAAATGTTTGAAAGACAGACAAATAAAATTTTTCATATTGATAGTTGTTAATATTGGTTAAAATGTTGACTTATATCCATAACTGTCATTGACAGACAGCCATATTGAGTACAGTATCGTACAAATATTGGTGTACATATAATAAAGTTAAAACTTCTGTATTCAAAATGTTTCAAATAACAATCTTTTTGATACATTCAAAATTGTAAGAATTGACTTCTATCAGCAGGAAAATGTTGTAGATAAAATTTATTATTATTTAAATAAATTTAGAACTGTTTAATAAAACTAAACTACCTTGTTACAAAATAAAACTGAAGATTACTAATATTTTTCAATATAAATATATAACTGTATTAATTATTTCAATCATAACAATTTCCTCAATTCTAATAAAAAGAAAATAACATATCTTCTGTTTGTTTGATTTTTTTTGTGTAAAATATACATAATGCTTTATTTTGTTACTGATACTAATAAAAAGCTATTTTGTAGAGAATAAAATATCACAATGTGCTGTTTAGTTTTTGCTTCCAGTGCATTTTCCATTCAATGAATCCTTTTAAGAGATATAATTCCTAGAATAAAAATGTAATACATATATTAAAATACAAATATACTAATATTACTTTTGATTTGCTCCCCTTGTGCTGCTGGTAGGAACCCATAATGGAAGACGAGCTGTTAGAAGCTTCTGGATTAAAAAATGCCTTGGACTTATGGTGGCATTAGAAAACTGGAGTGTACTTAATTTATAAAACTGTTCAAGACATGCAGTTCTTACATCTAAACTTGGTGATCTTAATAACATATCTATAATGAAATCTGGAACACATGGCATGGTAGAAAATGAATCTGAAATTTAAAAATATAGTTGAAAACTCATTATTGTAAAAATATATATCTTTATCTCTACATCAATAATAGATTTAGTAATATGATGATGATGTCCTAACAATAAATCACAAGTATGTTTATATATATTTTCTCTTAATAACAGTTGAATAAAAATAATCTCTAATATATTAAAAATAATAACAATAAAAATTTTCAATATAAAAATCAATAAAAGTAAAGTTAAAAAGACTTGATATTTATAACTATATACATATCAATAATAATATTTGGCAAATGAATATTAAATTAAAAACTTTTTATTTTAATAATAATGATTAATAAATATAAAATATCAAAATAAATCATCACTAAAACATTTCATTAATGCTTTTATAATTCTGTTTAAAATGAAAATAAAAAATTTTCAAATTTTATGAAACATATTTAAGTATAAATGTCCAAGATGTTAGAAAATAGCAAATGCAATTTAAATTAAAATAATTCCATCTTATTTCTATTATTATTAATATTACCAAGGGATTATTTCTATTTTTATTCTGTAAGATAAGTATATTGGGTATATATAAATAAAGCATTGTTCCAGGAAATAAACCAAATCTTCTAAACAACATATCTGTATCATAAAATTCCAAAACAGAGTTTCCTTTTAAGCTGAAGAAATCAGCTATTTTTAACAGGAGCAAATTTTTTGAATTTTAAATTATTTATTCTTCCTTTTTTTAAATGATTTCAAGGAATGCACGTTTAGAATCTTCAAAAAAATCTACTTAATAAAAATTGAGAAGAAAGTGCATATTCTTAATAATTCAATATAATGACATTTTTCTTATTAATAAGCATTAAAAGATTATTATTATCATGAAATATATAATCTATACTTTTTTTATGTATTAAAAAAGTTTTAAATGTATAATAATATAAGTTAAAAGGAAAACATTACAAATGTCAATAACAAAGAAAAAGCTGTGATGTAGACAAATGATGACCAGAAATAAGTTGGATATTACAGTAGTCAAATCAATTTGAACTTTGAATAAAAAAAAATGCATTAAAATTAAATATAGATTGAAATGAATAAGCTACACAAATAATATTTTTTATAAAATTTAAATTAAACTGATTTATTATTTTCTTAAAACAACGAAAGTATAATTCAGACATTAAATTTTAATTTTGTTAAAAAAACCTTTTGAACATAACTGAATTTTTTTTAATTACCAAAAGTTTAAAAAAAAAAATTTGTATTCATTTGAAATATAATATGAATTTATATTTTTATTAGTAAAGTTAGCAAAATCAGCTTTTTAGCAAATTATCTATTTTCATAAAATATTTTTATTTGGAAATTTTAGAAATTTATCAAAAGATATTAACTGAATGCAATAAAGCTAGTTTTAAGTGATTAAGTATTAAAAACATATGTTTCATTATTATTCTATATTATATATATGTACTGTACATGTATATGTATATGTATATGTATACAAATTTATTCAAAATATATGCAAAAAATTTTAGGTGCCAATTCTTTGAATAATTTAATCATAAAAGTTCATATAAACATATGTTCAAAATGAGATGGTTTTAAAGTTACAGGATGTTTAATGTGTGAACCGAGGGGGGGTTCAAGCTCTTCCACTCTTACTGGCTTCTTTGTCAGGGATGGCTTCGGTTAAATGAGTGGGAGGGGTAGTGAGGTCATGACAAGGTTCCCTAATAATTACACAGGTTGAACAATACAAACATATTTAATTAACTAACAAACAAATACAAATCAAAAAGATTACAATAATTCATCTAATACAATTCTAACTAACTACTAAGATCTAACTATAACAACATAATATTGTAGAATCTTACACTATGATCAAGAGAGTGTCGAGGAACAAAAGAGAAAGTACCGAAATGTGGATAGTTGCTTAACTCACGGATTCCTGCTCTCATTGTATGGGAGGTTTGTAAAATGCTCTTGGATCGGCAGTTCCTAATCGTAGTCTCTTCAGGTTGGAGATTATGGCAAGTCACAATGGACATTATGGAGATACGAGTCTGGTGTCCCTCAGTGTCCGCTTTTCTATGTCCGCTTCTGGTGTATGCCAGCTGTCCGAAAGGTGGGATGTGCTTCAGCTCTCTGTTGAGGTGTCTGCCTGCCCTCTGCTATGGCTGAGTCCGCCTCGGCTGTCCACGCTCTGGTTGTCTTCAACTGTTCGCCCAGAGTGGACGCTCGACCCCTTTTTATACTTGTCTCGGAGGGGGAATCATGGGGGAAGAAAACCTGATGCAATAGCCAGCTCAACTTGCATCCAGCTGTGTTTATGTTACTTGTCAAAAACAAACGTCCTTCTAGATTTATTACCCCTTTCTTTCTGTCATTTGACATCTTCTCACCATAAATTTGTCAAATTCCTTGATTTATTGACATGAGGTGACTCACGTCAGAACATATCTCACCACCTTAGTAATAATCACTGCCTTATTTGGTCATTTAGATTGGCATTCTCATCGGCTCTATCGGACTTAGAGGGAACTCATCAGTGACCCTTTTGGTTACTCTCAGGCAGTTGTCGGTGTTAATTGGCTATTTATTTTTACCTTTTAGCCATCGTAGAACTAGAGTGATTCCCTAGTGTGAGGGGAGTCCTTCTGAAGATGTTCAAAGTCATCTTCGAGGTGACGCAGTACATTGTGGGGTCAAAAAGGTCTAACTTCAACAAATTTGAAAAAATAATATTTTAATATTTAATTTCTCAAAAAAAAACAAACTCCCAAAAGAGTCCAGATTCTCACAAATTTGTGATTGCATGTACCAATCAATGTAGTGGAGAATACTCAATATTGAATATATTGGTGCTGGTGATCATGCATAAAACATCCTGTAACTTTAAAATTATGCCATTTTGAATATATGAACTTTTATACTTAAAATTATCCAAAGAATCAGTCCAAATTTTTTGCATATATTTTTTTTTAATCACCCTGTATATACAAGCATATTTTCTAGGTTGAGGCCATTAATGAATAAATGAATATTTCCAGTTATTCTAAATGTTCCATATTAATTTATATCAATGTAAGGCTTTGTAAATAATTTTAAACATTATTACTTTATAAATTCACTGTAGTTATAATTACAATATATAAGTTTATAAAGATATATTCAATCAGAAATCTTATTTTTAAGAGATATGAGAAGTAAAATATAGTGAAAAAAATCAATTTTTGAAATCTTCATAAAATNTCTCATAATACATGATAAAGTTTCCAAAAGTTCAGCAAAATGTCACTTGTTAAGCGCGTAATTTCTTTACAATTTGTTTTGCTCATTATGCAAATTACTCATTACGAGAGGTGCTCATTAAGCGAGGTTCCATAGTATTTTTCATTGTAACTGTTGCCAAACAAGATTTTTGATATATGATTAAAATATGTACAGAAGAGACTTGTATATTCTAGTAAATTAATTTGAATAAACTTTTTCATGATTATTGTTTTGTTTCAATAAATGAATTTAAAGACTGTATTGGCTAATACTAATGTAATATTTTGAATATTTCCAAAAATTTTCTTAAATTATTACTACTGCTAAAGGTAAAGTGATTTACTAAGCAAACTGATTTAATTTAATATTCTTACTTAATACATAAGAATTCAATTAAAATACTTTAACCTAACTATTTAAAAAATAAGTAAGACTTATAGCTGATGATGATAAAATATTCAATATACTGTAAGTTTAGAAATATTGAAAATTGAAAGCAATAAATTAAACAATTTCTTATATGAAATTAAATAAAATTGCCAAGACGAATTTACAGAAAAATATATATTTCTTTAAACTATACATAAAAAATGAGTCAATTCTATTCTGTCCCTTCTTATGCTGTTCAAGGTAATAACAATTCCATGGNAAACTCGCTCGGAGGTCGCCCTTAAGGTGAAAGGTTATGACCCTCGCTTTGCCCGTGATCTGTCAGGATGACACAAGAAAACCTTTTCCGTATGGGGGTCGTGGTTTGCTGGACGCAAAGACTCACACAGAGACCGTATTTACTAATTCAACGCGTTTATTTGGTGAAAACATGCTTACAATGAGTTACACAATCCGGGGTGGTAGATCCCGTGCAGAGAGAGAGAGTGGTCTCCAAGATTATAGGCTCGAAAGTTCGTCTCCGTTGATACTGTGTGATGGATCGAAGAAAGTTCGTCTCCGTTGACACTGTGCGATGGACCGAAGAAGGTTCGTCTCCGTTGACGCTGTCTTGGACGTTGGAGGGATGGAGAACTGTCACGGGAAAGTCTGTCCTAGCACTCGGAGTTTGGTATCCTTTGTTGCTTCGTGTTTCCTGGACAGATGCTCTCGAACATCACTTCGCAACCTTCCCGTGTCCTTGGGACCTCGGGCTTTTATAATCTTTCCTCACCCGAAATCCCGAGGTTTTGGTTGGTCCGAATGTTGGTCCCCCGCGATTCTATTGGTCCCTGGTCTGTTGCCAGGGACGCGATTCAGGCTGAGGGGTCGCCGAAATGACCCCGTCCGGGCCGTTCCCCTCCGGAGTTGGGTCAAGCCCTTTCCTGGATGATGGTCCTGTAAATTGTCACCTAATGTCTATTTTTCTGTCCCGGAGAGGAGGAAGCTATCTCAGCCGCTGCCCCCTCCACAGGAGTGTCAGCAGGACCTGCTTTCAACTCTCTGTAAGGTGACCGTCCAAAGTTTCCCCGACAGTCGATCCCTCGATCGTTCTCACGATTGACGACCGTGAATCTGTCAATTAGGCCTGGAATGCGACAATTAAATCGTCTCGCACCCCGTTCCTTGGTCACACCGGTCCTATTTATGTAATAAGTCACCGATATATTGACTTTAGCTCGACAGCCAGTTTCCGTCCCAGAGGGCCTCACAGTCATTAAATTTAATACAAGATGGCAGCATAACTGCCTACCTCTAGTCAAATTAATCAATTTCTAATATTTAATTATAGCCTTTACACAGCCCAAAAATTTGGTATATCAGTTGGCGTGTTTACTATATAATAGTCTATGGTTGTTGATGTTTATATGTAATATATCTGAACACAAGTTTGGAAGAATGTGTGATAACAAGTGACACTAAGATGCTAGTGGAACAAGTGCTAAATACAGACTGATGGAGCATGTGCACAATCCAGGACATCCCCTCTCCTTGTCACTCATTATGCAAAATGTCACTTGTTAAGCGCGTAATTTCTTTACAATTTGTTTTGCTCATTATGCAAATTACTCATTACGAGAGGTGCTCATTAAGCGAGGTTCCATAGTATTTTTCATTGTAACTGTTGCCAAACAAGATTTTTGATATATGATTAAAATATGTACAGAAGAGACTTGTATATTCTAGTAAATTAATTTGAATAAACTTTTTCATGATTATTGTTTTGTTTCAATAAATGAATTTAAAGACTGTATTGGCTAATACTAATGTAATATTTTGAATATTTCCAAAAATTTTCTTAAATTATTACTACTGCTAAAGGTAAAGTGATTTACTAAGCAAACTGATTTAATTTAATATTCTTACTTAATACATAAGAATTCAATTAAAATACTTTAACCTAACTATTTAAAAAATAAGCAAGACTTATAGCTGATGATGATAAAATATTCAATATACTGTAAGTTTAGAAATATTGAAAATTGAAAGCAATAAATTAAACAATTTCTTATATGAAATTAAATAAAATTGCCAAGACGAATTTACAGAAAAATATATATTTCTTTAAACTATACATAAAAAATGAGTCAATTCTATTCTGTCCCTTCTTATGCTGTTCAAGGTAATAACAATTCCATGGAGGAATCGACCTTTTATTGTAAGAAATATAAAATATATTTCTATTTCTTATATGAGTTTGATTAGACATTTTTTTCTTAGAGTATTACATAAAAGTTCATTGTAAAACATGGAATATTAACATTTCTAATTTTACTTTACTAATATGACTGCAAGAGGATAATGATAATGCATAATTTTTAAAAATGTTTACAAGAAGAAAAGCATTCTCAATAATGTTTTAGAATCAATTTACAATTACTCAACACAATATTTTAAATTTACATTTTTATATCAACTTATCCAAAATATATTTAATTTTACGTTATAAATCAAAATTTTACTTACTGAAAACATCTGTTCGTAATTCGAGACAAGTAACAAGAAATTCTAAGGATTTTTGGGCTAAAAGAGAATCTTTGCTGCTTACATATTCCTGTTGACCACAAACACCACTATGAAGACCTTGACTTTCACCTTCACTTCCACTACTTGCGTTACTTCCTTTAAAGCAAAATTTAAATGTATGTTATATTTAAAATGCATAAGAATAAAATAAAAAAATTAAAATAAACAGCATTAAATTTCATTATAAATTAGTAAAAAAATGTATTAGAAAAGCCAATTTTCTATTTCAGGTAAATGTTTTTCATCAATTTTTTAATATTTACTATATCAAGTAATTACTTGAAACAATCACTAATTCCATTTATTATTTGTTGTTATTATTTCATTGCTTATTTGCTAAATAGCCAATACTGATTATGATTATTGATATATCTCTTCTTTTCTACTCTTCTACTACTACTATTGATATATTTGTTATTTTCTCAAATTTCTAATGAAAGTTAAGTTCCTGCTCTGATGTCAAATTCTTAAATATTCATACAGTGATACCCCGAACTTATGCAATAGGTGGGACCGAGCAATAACTGCGTAAGTCGAATTCGCATAAGTCGGGGTATAATTTCACATTTAAATACATACAAATAATTTTTAATTGAGCCGGAGACTAAAAAAAACAATAATTTAGAAAAAAATGTTTAATAAAATCTTAGATAATACATATGTATAACAAATTATATTATACAATTTTTCACATTTACTTGATTATCACACAATAATTTTAATATTGTTTCCATCTCAGTGATAATACTGTGAAGTTTACAAATGATGCTTGTATGTAAAGATTGAGCATTTTTCACAGCTTCGAGAATTTTTTCTTTACCTTTTATAATTGCTCTGACCATCGATTTCGGTAGATCAAACTTCTTTGCCAATTCACAAATTTTCATTTTTGTATCTAAGTCTTTCATAATGTTAACTTTACATTCCAAAGATAGTTTTTCTTTTCTTGTTTGATGCAGAAGAATCAGTTCTACTTCGTTTGGATGACATAGTAGAGTCTCTCAAGTCTCCGTAGATATAACAAACACAGAAATAAATAACACAAAATAAATTGTAGCTATGCGCTGATTCCACGCAACACGTCCGAACATGTAAGCCGAACAATTGTGTGGTGGGAGTGAGTAATCAAGAGTTGCATGGCGCTCAAACAAAAGATGAATCAACGAGATTTGAAAATCGTGAAACTCCGGGTTCACGTAAGTCGGGGTAGCGTAAGTTGAGGTATTACTGTATATTATTATTTCATTTGTCTAGAAACTTAATTAAAATAAATATATTCCAATTTTATTCAGTATTAACTTATTCTTTTATTATCCAAAAAGGACATAAAAGTAGATACACAGTTGTGAATAGAAAAATACAGATATTTAGTTTCATTAATTTCATTATTATTTTTATCTTTTATAACTTCATATTCTTTATAATTGATTTAATCTATGCATAAAGTCAAATGTTTTTTTCTTTACATGTTTTTTTCCATAATAACAACTGTATACCTATTTTTGCACCCCTACTCCCATAAAATCAGCCTGGTTGTAATTTTAGCAATTCAAAAATTAAATATTTGTTAAATTCCATTAACCCATTCTCAAAAATAACTTTTAGATTAAATAAAATGCATATCCCTCAGAGATCCACATCTTGGTCAGTGTAATCTGATATAGCATACTTATAGTATCATAGATTTAATACTTTAACAGGTATAATAGAAATATGCTAAGTAGAAAAATTACAAAAGTTAAACAGTTGCTTGGACAAAAATTAATAATTAATTAAAATAAATATAAAATGAAAACATGTGACTTGTAAGAATAATAACTGTCAATATAATAGTCTACTTCTCATATTATTTCAAAAGCTATAATAAACAAATATTTTAGGAAAGTGCTGTTATAAATACATGATATATTTGATAAATAAATGATAAAATATATAATATTTTTAATTTAGTAATTTAATTATATTACCTGTGCTACTCTGCCTACTTCTTCTCCCAGATAAATGACTACTACTAGGAAGAGGACAATTTGCAAGATGGAGTTGACCAGCTGCTGCTGCCCAAGCAACTCTCATAATACATGATAAAGTTTCCAAAAGTTCACCAATATTTAAAGTCTGTTTTAAAAAATTATTAGGATACAAATTTATTGTTACACATGTTGCATGTGCACAATCCAGGACATCCCCTCTCCTTGTCACTCATTATGCAAAATGTCACTTGTTAAGCGCGTAATTTCTTTACAATTTGTTTTGCTCATTATGCAAATTACTCATTACGAGAGGTGCTCATTAAGCGAGGTTCCATAGTATTTTTCATTGTAACTGTTGCCAAACAAGATTTTTGATATATGATTAAAATATGTACAGAAGAGACTTGTATATTCTAGTAAATTAATTTGAATAAACTTTTTCATGATTATTGTTTTGTTTCAATAAATGAATTTAAAGACTGTATTGGCTAATACTAATGTAATATTTTGAATATTTCCAAAAATTTTCTTAAATTATTACTACTGCTAAAGGTAAAGTGATTTACTAAGCAAACTGATTTAATTTAATATTCTTACTTAATACATAAGAATTCAATTAAAATACTTTAACCTAACTATTTAAAAAATAAGCAAGACTTATAGCTGATGATGATAAAATATTCAATATACTGTAAGTTTAGAAATATTGAAAATTGAAAGCAATAAATTAAACAATTTCTTATATGAAATTAAATAAAATTGCCAAGACGAATTTACAGAAAAATATATATTTCTTTAAACTATACATAAAAAATGAGTCAATTCTATTCTGTCCCTTCTTATGCTGTTCAAGGTAATAACAATTCCATGGAGGAATCGACCTTTTATTGTAAGAAATATAAAATATATTTCTATTTCTTATATGAGTTTGATTAGACATTTTTTTCTTAGAGTATTACATAAAAGTTCATTGTAAAACATGGAATATTAACATTTCTAATTTTACTTTACTAATATGACTGCAAGAGGATAATGATAATGCATAATTTTTAAAAATGTTTACAAGAAGAAAAGCATTCTCAATAATGTTTTAGAATTAATTTACAATTACTCAACACAATATTTTAAATTTACATTTTTATATCAACTTATCCAAAATATATTTAATTTTACGTTATAAATCAAAATTTTACTTACTGAAAACATCTGTTCGTAATTCGAGACAAGTAACAAGAAATTCTAAGGATTTTTGGGCTAAAAGAGAATCTTTGCTGCTTACATATTCCTGTTGACCACAAACACCACTATGAAGACCTTGAGTTTCACCTTCACTTCCACTACTTGCGTTACTTCCTTTAAAGCAAAATTTAAATGTATGTTATATTTAAAATGCATAAGAATAAAATAAAAAAATTAAAATAAACAGCATTAAATTTCATTATAAATTAGTAAAAAAATGTATTAGAAAAGCCAATTTTCTATTTCAGGTAAATGTTTTTCATCAATTTTTTAATATTTACTATATCAAGTAATTACTTGAAACAATCACTAATTCCATTTATTATTTGTTGTTATTATTTCATTGCTTATTTGCTAAATAGCCAATACTGATTATGATTATTAATATATCTCTTCTTTTCTACTCTTCTACTACTACTATTGATATATTTGTTATTTTCTCAAATTTCTAATGAAAGTTAAGTTCCTGCTCTGATGTCAAATTCTTAAATATTCATACAGTGATACCCCGAACTTATGCAATAGGTGGGACCGAGCAATAACTGCGTAAGTCGAATTCGCATAAGTCGGGGTATAATTTCACATTTAAATACATACAAATAATTTTTAATTGAGCCGGAGACTAAAAAAAACAATAATTTAGAAAAAAATGTTTAATAAAATCTTAGATAATACATATGTATAACAAATTATATTATACAATTTTTCACATTTACTTGATTATCACACAATAATTTTAATATTGTTTCCATCTCAGTGATAATACTGTGAAGTTTACAAATGATGCTTGTATGTAAAGATTGAGCATTTTTCACAGCTTCGAGAATTTTTTCTTTACCTTTTATAATTGCTCTGACCATCGATTTCGGTAGATCAAACTTCTTTGCCAATTCACAAATTTTCATTTTTGTATCTAAGTCTTTCATAATGTTAACTTTACATTCCAAAGATAGTTTTTCTTTTCTTGTTTGATGCAGAAGAATCAGTTCTACTTCGTTTGGATGACATAGTAGAGTCTCTCAAGTCTCCGTAGATATAACAAACACAGAAATAAATAACACAAAATAAATTGTAGCTATGCGCTGATTCCACGCAACACGTCCGAACATGTAAGCCGAACAATTGTGTGGTGGGAGTGAGTAATCAAGAGTTGCATGGCGCTCAAACAAAAGATGAATCAACGAGATTTGAAAATCGTGAAACTCCGGGTTCACGTAAGTCGGGGTAGCGTAAGTTGAGGTATTACTGTATATTATTATTTCATTTGTCTAGAAACTTAATTAAAATAAATATATTCCAATTTTATTCAGTATTAACTTATTCTTTTATTATCCAAAAAGGACATAAAAGTAGATACACAGTTGTGAATAGAAAAATACAGATATTTAGTTTCATTAATTTCATTATTATTTTTATCTTTTATAACTTCATATTCTTTATAATTGATTTAATCTATGCATAAAGTCAAATGTTTTTTTCTTTACATGTTTTTTTCCATAATAACAACTGTATACCTATTTTTGCACCCCTACTCCCATAAAATCAGCCTGGTTGTAATTTTAGCAATTCAAAAATTAAATATTTGTTAAATTCCATTAACCCATTCTCAAAAATAACTTTTACATTAAATAAAATGCCAGATCCACATCTCAGTCATCCACATCAGAGATCCACATCTTGGTCAGTGTAATCTGATATAGCATACTTACAGTATCATAGATTTAATACTTTAACAGGTATAATAGAAATATGCTAAGTAGAAAAATTACAAAAGTTAAACAGTTGCTTGGACAAAAATTAATAATTAATTAAAATAAATATAAAATGAAAACATGTGACTTGTAAGAATAATAACTGTCAATATAATAGTCTACTTCTCATATTATTTCAAAAGCTATAATAAACAAATATTTTAGGAAAGTGCTGTTATAAATACATGATATATTTGATAAATAAATGATAAAATATATAATATTTTTAATTTAGTAATTTAATTATATTACCTGTGCTACTCTGCCTACTTCTTCTCCCAGATAAATGACTACTACTAGGAAGAGGACAATTTGCAAGATGGAGTTGACCAGCTGCTGCTGCCCAAGCAACTCTCATAATACATGATAAAGTTTCCAAAAGTTCACCAATATTTAAAGTCTATTTTAAAAAATTATTAGGATACAAATTTATTGTTACACATGTTATAAATATTTTTTAAAAATCAAAACATTAATCATTAATTATAAATGTAATTAATTATTAGAATAATCTATCATTATATAAAACTACACATATGATAATCAATTGACTTTTATAATGATTAAATAATTTAGATTAATCCATTAAATAAATTTAAAAATCTGGAAAAAATGGCTAAAATTAGTATTATTATTCTATTAATTCTTCATATACTGAAAAAATTATAAAACAATTTTATATTCATTGCCATAGATCGTATTTTTTACTTGGATTTTTATGACTGCCTACATATTAAATATAAATATTTCTATTTTACAAAGTAATTATACTAGCAATTAATAACAAAATATTAATAACATGTCAATCCATATAATATTTACTTATATCATCAAGATTTATTAAAATTCTAATATTGAATTTAATAAATTTAAATTCAATATTAGAATTTAAATTTGAATTAAAATACTTAGATTTTTTTAAACTAGTTCCTGTGAAGTAAAGTGATTCAAATATTTTGAAAAAGCATGTTTATATCATAAGATTGCATTCATTTCTATAACAACTGAGTTTAATTTTAAAAACTAATTCAACAATGTTTAATCAAAAATCATTTCTGTAATAGTTATAATACTTTTTGTTAAATATATAGCAGTCAAAACTAAACAGATTCCTTATATTTCAGTATTTTATCCATTAGTAAAATAAAATTTCTCATTAGTTTACTTTTTCTGTTAGTTGTGGATGGTAATTCAAATAATAATGTTAACTTAGTTTTAAAATATCAATACAATAAAAATCTGATTTTTAATAAAATGCTTTTATATAGAATAAAATATCTTCAGAATATTTTTTTAACTATAATAATAATCTAATTTAAGATTAAGTTCACAAAAAACTGAACAAATATTAATTTCACTGTACTGCTTTATTTATTTCAACTTATTAACTATATTTGCTTACCTGAATTGCTTTGGTAGAAATTGTAGGATGTATGTTAGGATTAACAATATTTTCAGAATAGCATGCTTGAGAAGTTTTTTTAATATTCATTCTGCATCCCAAGCTATGAGGTATATTTCCATATTCTAATCCTGTCTGTCCACACAAAAGATACCTTAAATCATAAAAAAATGTAATTAGAAAACTAATTACAATATATTATAATAAAAATTTAAACAACATTAATAGAACAACAAAGCCAACAAAATAAGTTATCAATACTGTTTACAATAAAAACTAATGATTTATACAAAGATTTCAAGATATTTTTCTTAATGATAAAATGTTTAAATACTGTAATTCTTCAAAGAAAAAATTAACAGTATATTTGTTTTTGAAACTCTACTGCTTTTTTGGAGTTCACAGTCACTTAGATATATTTTCTTTCATATCCTAGAACTTTTGATTCATAAATCATCCATCTGAAGAGGTAACTTGCAGATTTTATGTAATTTAATTTTCTTTATTAGCAGTTTAACTGCTGACTTCAACTCAAAAAAATAGAATTCAGTAATTAGTTTGAAATTAAGTTGGAATGATCAATTTACTTCTGATTTTGAAAACAATAATATACAAAAGAAAAAAAATTAGAAATATTTCTAAATTATTAATAATATTATTTAATTGAATTGAAAGCAATAAAGATAATTTAAAGTTTTATTTTGTGTTACTATAACATTTTTTATTTTATAAGAATTTTTTAAAATTGTCTTTAAATTTTTATACTAAATATCCTTATCACAATTATGCATAGAAAAAAACTAACAACTTTAGTTTAATATAACACTTAAACATTTTTGAAATAATTAAAACTCCACTTATGAAAAACATAAATTCAATTAGCCTACTTAAATAAAAATAAAATAATTTCCATTTTTAATAATTTTGAAAGATGTCAAAAGAATAGGTACCTATTGTATAGAAATCAAAGAAAATATTATATAATCAAAATTAAATAATTCTTTTAATAAATTAAAAATTGGGCTTATTCATAATACTGTAAATAATGCAAAGTTACAACAATGACAAATAATAAGTTAAATTAAATTAAAACAGTTCATATAAGTAATATTTCATCTTTTTATGAGTATAAAATAGTAGGTGCTCCAACCCTCACTATTTTCAGTGGTACAGCTCCAATATTTCACATCTTAATGCTCTTATATAAAATTAAATAAAATTCTTATATAAAATATTGCATATAATACATAATAATACATAAAAAATTACAATATTTTATAAATTACCTAGCTATAACTAATGCCATTAAGTAGCAGCCTTGTCGAATATCATAATCTACTTCAGGGGGCATACTGTCTCTCTGCAGCACTCCTAATACCAGTTTTAATCCTCCTGCATTTAAAAAATCTTCACAAAATATTTGAGCACTTTGGATAGTAGCTGCATCTTGCATAACTACTATTAATTTACCACATAAAACCTACAATAAAAAATGAAACTTAGCATATTCAAATAACACATACACTTAATATATAAAATTTTGCAAATAAAACTTATAAGATATAAATTATTAGCATATAACTGATTGTTTAATCATTTAAACCAGGGTTGTCAAACTGGTGGTCCAATGTGATTTTTTGTGGCTTGTGGCCACAATGCTCTGAAATTAAATAAAACAACTTATAGATCAAGATTCACTGATAAACATCTATCTGCCTTAATGAAGATTGTTCACAGTCTTTGAATCCAGATATTGGAAAATGAGGAGGAGGAAGATAGTGCTGGCAAGTTTCCAGTGAAAATAATTAATTGTAGTTTTATAAATATGTACATTAAATAAAATAAATATTTAAATAAAAGCAATACTATAGAAATTATATATTGTTGAGTTGAATTCACTGAACTATGTAATGTATTTTAATTGCCCTATCTATATTCCTGCATTCTCACTTCAAATTATAATTTTAAAATTTATAAATGTGATATGTGGCTAGTGTGAATCTTACCAGTCGCATTAATTGTTGTTTAAATGAGTTTGACACACTTGATTTAAACAAACAGTTATTTATTTAACATTTTTATAGCTTTCTCACTTAATTTTTAAAATTTTATTCCAACCAGTGAATCCCAAGTTTAGTGAATACCTGTAATTAGTGGACAAAATAATTGGTGTATTTTTTTCATTAAATAAATGGGCACTGACTTTTGCAGACAAAGAATCAAAAATTTCTTAATATTTTCCAAAACCTCTCTTAAATAAACAGAACAATTTACTAAATGTTTCCCACGAATATCATTTAAAAACTATCATGCTTATCTTCAGTGTCAATAAGATTTCTTTGCATCCTGAAACTTATCAAATGACATTTCCATTTTTATTTTCCAGCACTAATCACATTATGTTTCAGGAAAGTGGCACTGACATTTTACCTTGAATGATGGAAAAGAGACATTAAGAATTTGAATAATTTTGAAAGAAGACTAACATAAGTAAAATAAATCAAATAAGTCATGTATTGCAAAAAGAAGCAAAAATCCTGCTTACAAAACCTAAATAGCATAATCAGTAATGTTACTTGCCTATTCACCTGCATTAGTTAATAATAGTGCATAATAAATAATAATAATAATAATAAATGCATAATTAAATAGAAAAATCAAACCCAAATTATAGTAATAATTATGTTAACACACTTCTAACTTAATGTCATACAGCCCACCTCAAAATATTGATGGATTTCTATATATATCAATTAATTATTGTCTATACAGGTAGCCCTCGGTTTACGCCGCAGTTCCGTTCCTACAAAAGCCAGCACAAATCAAATCGGCATAAAATGAACCCATATTTACAGTGAAGTATAAGGTTAGGTTCTACATAAATGAAAAATAAGCTAATAATTTTGTTTATTAATACAATATAATACGAAATACATATAAATTTTTAATTTTTAAAATGTATTTTATCATAAAATAAAGTGAAATGTTTTTATTAAAAAATTTTAGTTTTGGATCTTGTACATTTTTCGATCTTTCCATCTTTAATTGTTTAAGTTTTTGTTTTCTTTCATTAAGAATTTCAGAATATGGTTGAATAGATGCGATGATGCTCCTTTTTATATTTGCACTTCGTCCCAATCATTGTCTAACTCACAAAGTTCATCCGTCAAACTTTCCATAGTTGAAAGGATATGTTAACCCGATGTAGAGCTACAGAGGAGTGAAGACACTGATTGGTCGACCACTGGTCGCCATAGCGCATATATAAGGTCAGTTTAAGCAGGAAAATNAAGGAGAGATAAATATCGTCTGGCCAACGAGAAGTAAATTTGTCTCACTAACGATAATTTGTGATCGCCGGAAGTGCTATTGCATCGTAAGGTGTTTTCCTGAATGAACTGATACGGGATACATTCATTGGCGCTATGGATTCGGACGCCATTTATTGGACTATTAAGTTTAATATCTTGACTCGTGGGTACATAAACATTTAGTATTTTAATATAAATTTAATGCAAATGTATACATACCCAATAACATTAAACAGAAAAAATAAATACATTTAATAAAAATCTTTGTTTTAATGAATGTACTGTACAATGTTGCAGCTAGGTAAATACATCAACAGTGAAATGAAAATCAGTCTAGCATAGGGAAAATCGGGGAATTACACCTCGAAACGGCGAATTGCACAGCGGTGTTATTGTGAATTGGCGTAAATTGAACCGGCGTAAACCGGGGCTACCTGTATTCAATTTGCTAGTTTTACTTGTAGAATCATCTAATAACAAAAAGTTTTTTAAATAATAAATTAAATATAATTCATATAAACAAAGGATATAATTAAAAAATACAAATATTTTATTTACTTAATTACTATGACAATGATATAGCATGAAGTGCATGTGCATGCGCATGCGCTATATCATTACTGCAATGAATACCATAAAACACCTGCATGGAGTCTAGAGTATTACATTGTGAAAACTATATAAGTATTTAATTTTTCACATTTAAAAACTCTGGTTTTTTTCATTTCTGAATGGTACTTTCTAATAAGTGCCCATCAGTGGCCAAGTGGATAAAATCACCAAACACTGGTTGGTTATGGGTTTGCACATTGCCAATGGGCTGGCCATGTGGAATTTTCAGGGTTTGATTTACATTAGTAACACCTAAAGAAAGGCCATATTCTGATAAAAGTCCTCCTGGGAGGCATCTCCTCAGCAGATTGCACACATATTGCATTCCCATAATCAAATAAACCAAATTAATTCTAATAATTTTTCTATAAACTTCTTAAGTAGCTTATAGTTAAGATAATGTTTTTAAAATGGGTTTAACCACATACATTTTTGAAATTTATTGTGAATGGTACTTTATAAATCCAGGCAAAGCCAGATGTAACAAGCTAGTATTTGTATAATTAAATAGCCCACTTCTAGCCTGATATATTTCTAGCCAACTAATACAAATAATCTGGCTTTATCATTTGTATTAGTTGTGAATTTTTTTTAGTCCACTCCAAGTCAGAAGCCAGAACATATCAAGATTTCTCCACATTTACTATTATTAAGTATTTAAAAACATTTAATTATTAATTTCTAAATTTAGTAAAAAATAGTACTTAATGCTCCTACTGCCAAATATACACTATATATATAATGTTAATGCTAATTAGCACAAAGATAAATTCTATAATTTTGGCAATTCCTTGGATATTTCTGAATTGTGCTTTTATCACACATTCTTCTGAATATAAACTGTAAAATGAAATCAATTACAGGGAGTCCCTAACTTACAAAGGAACTGCCTGCATTTTATTCTGGAACTCTCGTTGCAAATCTAATATAAAAAAAATTATAATAAGATGTGATTCCAAAGGTCATGTATAAGCATACATAATACTGCATATATTAATATATATATATATTGTAATCAGTTACTGTACACAGATACCGTAATACAATACAGCAAAACTTTTTAGATGAATTGCACTTCAAACCAAAATTTAAAATTTTAATCAATTAATTATGGTATTTTCTTAACAAAAGATTCACATATGCATACAAGTTGAAATTAGAATGACCAATTCTGATCCAAGCACTCTATAAAAAATTAGTTTCATTTTTGCTTATTAGATGCTAATAACAAATTCAAGTTATAGCTAACAAATAAACTTATCAATTATTTTTATATAGTGTTTTTTTATTTATCTGCTTATATAGTATTGCATTAAACATTTGGTTATTGTACTGTGCCATTAGCAAGTACAGCCAACTGTTTAGAATAACAAAAATTTTTAATAGGACAGTTTCAGTTGTCAGAACTATAAAACGATCATAATCAAGTGGTAAAATATCAAGGACTCACTGTAATTAAAAACCATGAAGTATTGTAAAATATACAGAAACTTTTTAACAGCTAGCTGTCTAAGTAGGAAATGTCTCTGGACCCAAGCTTTGGGTCCAGAGACATTTCCTACTTAGATGGCTATCCAGTTCTATTGTAGTTACACATTTAAGAAAAGTTATAAACTGTTCTAAATGACTGCTCTAAGAAATAACTATCCTTGAAAAAAAAAACTTTTTAATTTTAATTACTTTACAAACTTTATATTAATTATTTTATTCCAAATCACTTCAACTCACAATATAAATAAATTAATTTTTTCAAAATCAATTGCATTGTTCCTTACCTCTAGATTATAAAGGAGTTTAAAAGGAGATGTTTGAACATTTACATCAAACAGATTCCTCAAAATCTCATGTGGTCCTTCTGGCTTTTCTTTTGGAGAACTTTGAATTATTTTCTTTGGGCTTGTTCTTGGACTGTACTTATTGGAATCAGTTGTTGGAGAAACAGCTTCATTTGATTTTTGCTTTAAAATTTTATCATAAAAATATTAAATTTAATTCCAACATTTTATAAACATAAAAAATTTATAAGACAATCTAAGATTTTTTATTTAAAATTAATTCATTTTAATTCATGTCTAAAAATTTCAGCATGAAATTACCAGTTAATTTATTTATTATGAAAAATTCAATAATACAGTAACTGATTTGATTTTTTTATTTAAAAAAAATAAATACACAAACAATTTATAAACCTAAAATTTGAAAATTTATACATACTATTATATTTACATAATTATTAATAATTAATTAATTAATTAAAAACAAGATTATTTTAAATTTTTAATTAATTAAATATGTTTCATCTATTGTAATGTTAAATTTCTTATTTATGCTCATTTATGCTGCAAAAAGGTTAATATAGTCTTCAAAAAAAAAAAAAAAACAAGAAATATTCATTTAAATATTAATTTAAACAATACTCACCTTTACACTTATAGAATCCAGAGAATCTAATATTGCAGGATCAGTTGGAATTAAATGTAACAAATTTCTAATTCTTGCTGATATTCTAAGAAATTATAAAAGTTATACTGAATTTTTATATTTCTTTGAAAAACTAATTAATACTTACAAAAAAATTTGCAATGTTGACCAACATATAATCTAATGATTACATACGAAGATTAAATAAATAATTTTAGTAAGTTATTTTTCTTTTTTGAACAAATCAACATTAATTGTAAGAAAATTACTTTTACGTTTCATCCTTTAATACAGGCTGCTATAAATTATTTTTTGTTGCAATTTAAAAAAAAAAACTTTTTAGATCAAATGTGATAGATTTCTACAAAACCTAGAGAAAATAAAACTATAATCTTAAAAATGAGTAGTCATGCTGGTTTATATTTGTTTGTGTCATAGCTATGTTTGTAGTGAAGTATCAATAAATAAAAATATTAAAAGTATAGAAGTAATCAAAACAGAAATGAAGTATAACAGAAAATGCTATCTATCAAATTACAGAATTTAGTACTCAAAGTAAGTTCACAATATTATGCATATCTAACAATCTTTTTTATCAAAAATACCTTGTATAATGATGGACATTTAACAAAATCTCACAAACATCAAAAAATATTATAAGTTAATAACAAGAATAAATAATAAGTTAAACAATTTTCTATCAGTTCTAGCCATTTAAGTTTAAAGATCTTGCTCTCATCCAGATGAAAATCCTGAATTTAATCCAACAAATCAGGAAAAAAATGAAGAAGCTGGGAGGGTAAATTAGAATGACAACTTTATACTTTAAGCTTAATGTCAACAATAAATTCAATACCTGTAAGCTCTTTTGGACACTCAGTTTGCTGAGATACTGAGGGAGATGGTGAGATACTGTAAGCATATTTTCAGAGAGTTGGTTAGAGTCGCCAATGCTAATATATAACTGGATGTAGATGACTCTCAGAGTTAAAAAACAAATAAGAGATGCAGAAATATTGAAAACACCAACATTACTCTCTTCAAACATATTTATTTATTTTACAGTGTTGATGAAATACAAGAGGAAGAATGATCCTAGAAACAGAACTGGCAAGGAATGCTTCAACAAGACTCTTGTCACCTTTGCAGACATCTGTGAAGAGATGGAAGCAGAAGGATTAAAAGATCCTCAGGGTAAGAAAGGAAACTCCCAACAGAGAAGATATTTATTCAATCAAAGTTGGATAATGCAGAAAGATTCTATAAATATTAATAAAATAAAAACCAAAGGTGAATTATGGCCAATGCATGTAGGACTCCAATGCAAACACAAGGCTAGATATAGTGGCATTGCCACATGGTGCTGAAAGGAAATCATTCACAACATCCAATATATTGTCTAAAAATCTTCAGTCCTTAGCATGTTGTTTCATCTTAGTATTGGCAAGTGTCCTCCATAATAAAACTCTGTTGAAAGCATCATGTACAACAAATATCACAAAGATATTACAGTCAGGTACTGAATTCCCATCATAATAAAACAGAGATAATTGAAAGGGGAATTACATGTTTGATCTTATTGAAATATTAGTCACATATTTATTTTCTGAATCTGTAAATCTGTATATAATTCCAACATATCATGGTGGCATTTGTGCCAAAATTTTACACAAAGAAAAAGGATTAGTGACAAACTTTTTAATTATCTTTTTCATGCTGTAAAAACTATACCTTCCTTACTTTTATTTTCTTTTTCGAATAACATTGTTTAAAATTATCTGTTTTTGCAGAATTTTTACATAAAGAAGAATAGCAAAAATCAAAGATTTATTATAAAAAAAAATACAACAGCAAATAAATGTTTAATAAATATTTTCATTGTTGAATTTAATTTTAAAAGTTAATTTAAAAGTTAAAAGTTAAGTTAAAAGTTTAATTTTTAAAAATAGTTTATAATTTAAAAAAACATATCAACTAATAATCTTTTTTCAAAATGAATTATCTAATAATTTAATTCTTATAATTGCAATATTATGTAACTATTATATTTTTTAAAAACTTCTGTTTTTAATACTTACTTTGAATCCTCCAGCATCGCCAATTGAAACAACATGGAAAAAACTTGACCTCCTGAAGACATCACAACACCAGGCAACATTTTCTCCTAAATTATTTTTTATAATTACATTTTAATTTTAAAATTTTTAATTACTTAATCTTATAATTCATAAATTTTGGATATTTTTTCAAACTATCATACTTGCCTGAATAAAATACACACATCAATTTACCAAATCTTAAACTCAATCAAGAAGAATTAACACTTTCATATATGAACAATTAAATTAATTCAACATTATTAAACCATAATTAGTTTTAAACTACTTGATGTACTGTACATTATTCTTATCATATTATAAATATTGATTCTCTTGACTATCAGTGAAATCATTAATAATGATCTTTGCATTGAAAGTTGTAAAATAATATATGTTTTAAATGTCCATTTTAATCAGTTGAAAATTATATGGCTGAATATTTCTTTAAAAAATTTGTTATGTAATAGCTGCAAGCTGCTAAAACAAAAACTGGAAAAACTAAATCTCTTACTATTTAATAAATATGATTTATGAACTATCATCAATAAAAATTATTAATACAAACAAAACTCCTTTATATTAAATTACAATAAAAAAAATTATAAAGAAGATATAATGACAAAATAATAATAAAAAATGAATAAACAAATAAAATAAATGTTGAAATAATTTATTCAGTTATCCAGAGTGTAATAAAATTCAAGAAGAGTAGCTTAATAGCATATCAATGGTTAGAGTCTTGATAATTCATTAGTAGTTAAATGCTAAGATATCAGATAATAAATTGATCAATATGATTCTTAAGTTACTGCATTTGTATTCTGTAAACTTTATTTTTATAAAGTTATTTGAAATTTATTGTACAAATAACTATCCAAAATCTACAAATAACTATCCAAAAATGTATTAAAAAGGACTAACAAAAGTAATGTATTATCAATTATACTTACACTAATTGCAGTCAGCAAAAATATAAAATATTCATTTTACAATTACAAAATTTCTAAAATTTTAATACACTCTGTATTTGAAAACAAAAAATATTAGAGATATTAAAATTCTTACTTGTTCTAAATGGAAAGAAAAACGTATGGAAGATCCACTTGATGCTGTAGCTAATGAATTAAAATTTACTGATTCCAATAACGTTTGTGGAGAAGATGGGAAAATTTCACTCTAAATGTTTCAAAACATTTAAATATTAATATAAATTAATACTGATAATATGTGATATTAAAAAATTCTGACTAAAAAATTATTATTTTTATGATTATTATTAATGCATAAAAATTGTCTTTCTCTTATTTTTTTATTTTGTATTAGCTTACAAATTTATTTATTAACAAATACACATTATTTGTTTATGCTTATTTAAACTAAGAAAAATAAGACTGGAATCCATCTGTAAATATGAGATCCTAAGTAGATGATACTATAAATGATGACTTTGCACATGCGCAAGTGCATGTGAGTGTGTGTGAAGTAAAGATTGAAAATAACCTGTATATTTTGTTTACTACTTTTATTTAAGCCACTCAAACTTTCACGTAACTCTGTACATAATTCACTAACTTTAATCAAACTTTATCATTAATTTAAAATACTGCATTTCATTATTAAACTTGGGGGTTATTTTTAAAATATGCATGTCCTGGGGTTTATTTCTTGCAAAAGGAGACAAGTGGATAAAAATTAAAAGACGTATCTTAATTACTCACAGATTTTCCAAATTATCAAAACCATTTATTGGCTGTATAACATAACAAATAATTGCTGTTTTCATAGTTAACCTGATTTAGCATCTTCTAATTTGCATATTACATTGTCATTCATGTCTGCTTTGATTCCATTGTAGGAATATCTTCACTATTATCTTATATCTCAGTAATTCTTTCTAAAACAGAGTTTGAACACTTTGAAGACTTTTTTCAATTACTCTTCAGCTGATATGTTCTTGACTTAGACTTGGTCACAACTTTTCCACACTCAGCCTTTGACAATAATTATAATTTTATTTCAAAAAGTATTACCATGAATGTTGGAAAAGAAAGCACTGTCTAACTCTAGATGATTTGAAAAGGTAGCATTTTAAACTCCTTATCCATCATTCTAAATTACATTATCCTGTACAGTGCATTATGTTAACATGTATCCCATAATTTTCAATCCAGAGTCAATTCAAAAACCAGGGTTATTTGAATCCTGGGATTTAATCAACAAAATACAATAGTTCAATAATGATAACACCTAAATGCTTTTGAATCTTGCTAAATTTCCCTTGAAGAAGAAAACATACATCTTTTCTCCTAAAGAGAATATTATGCAGGCAAAAGTTTTGGATGTTATAATTAATTCAACTAAATCAATAACATAATTAATTTGGTTGGGAAAAAAATGCAATTTTTATTTGAACTAATGATTGCAGATGAAGTTATATAGTGGAAATTGATTTTGTGATTAATTATTTAAGCGATCACCTTTACATAACAGCCAATTTTTGAAAGTACCAATTTTTTTTCTCCATTGATTTCAATAAAAATGTTTGGAAATTAAATGGTCAACTACTTGATGCAGCCAGTAATTTGCTGTGCATTTTGTAAGTTATATGATAATTTAACAGTCAATTAATATAAAAAGAAACTAAAATATAAAATATGTTGAAAAAACTGGATAATTCAGTATGCATCATGGAAATAAAAATGATTACAACCAGAAACACTTATTTTATATACCGTATTTTGACGAGTATAAGTCGCTGTCAAATATAAGACGCACCCCTATTTTGAGACAAAAAATTTAGAATAAAACTGTTTTAATAGGATTGTCTAAAGATGCATTTTATTTGTTCTTTTATTCAAGAATATGACGGATGGATGAATCGATACCTTTATTAAACTGAAATAATCGTCATTTCTTAATGTAAACTCAGAGGTCACGTGATGACAGTCGACAGAACATGGCGGCGATGACTCATGTGTCGCTACTCTGATAATCTAGATACTATAGTCATTCGGTTGAAGGACCATCTGCTTAACGGACCACTGCACAGGTTGGTCCCTAGAGTGGATCACTACTGTAGGTAATTTCACTGTAAAAATGGTTACCTGTCGAGTATAAGATGCACCATGATTTTGAGCCCCAAAAAGTAGTAAAAAAAGTGCGACTTATACTCGTCAAAATACGGTATGTAAAAATTTACTGCTAAATTTCAATTTATGGTAACAAGTTTTTTATTAATTTAAAAAAGAAATATAATTAAATAATAAATGTAATTTATTTTTAAAATATCAATATGAACAAAATCTGTTTTCGATCAATGACACATATGAATTTGGAAATCCTCAAACTATAGTAGAAATATTTAAAAATATTTTTTCAACATTATCTAGTATAGTAAAATCGTGGGACCGATAAAAATTTGACGTTACATTAGGGTTGTTGTTATATCCGAAGATGTTATAATCAGGTTAAACTGTATATTGTTTGTACAAAATAAAAAAAATAATTTCGGACGATACAATAGCCACAATTATTTTTCAAAAACAGAAAATTTTCTTTACGCATCGACAAAAATTCAACCTGGGCCGACACGCAACAAAGAGAAGTTTCGAAATTGGATAAGTTAATTTCATCGAAAATGCATCGTGGCCAGCAAAGTTTGAATGATCTTGCCCAAAAGCAGCAATACTAAAGAAGATTGGAGAATGAGACCGAGACCCACCTTGAGCATCAAAGTGATTCTACTTAGTAGATTCTTCAAGACATAGTCTTGGACCAAATACGGTTTTGCCGTTTTACTTGTTTTAAAGTTAAACAAAGTACAACAATTTAAATAAATAATGAAGTTTTTACAAAGTTTAAATGAAAAAAAATTAATTCCTTTCGTAATTAAAAAGTCTCCTTTATTTAGAGATAATTTTTGTGTGTCCCAAAGATGACTTTTTAAAGCAGTTTCCACTGTAGTTTTTCTACATTGCCAAATATTTAAAACAATAATTACAATTTTTTTCATGAATTTTAAATTGTCTTTGCAAAACTTAGAAAACATAATAAAATATAAAAACGTATTCTTTCTAGCTGGAACTTTTGTATAAATAGATACTAAACTGACCTTTTCATATGTTTCCAGCAATTTCAATATATACATAAAGCAAACATTTTTAACCTTGTTCAGAGATCAGCATCATGCTTTTTATCAAAGATTTTATAGTCAAACTTTTCAATTTGGAACACTGTTTGCTCTTGCTTCATTTTGGAACACATTTGCTTTATGTATAAATCAAAATAGCTGGAAATGTGAAAAAAGGTCAGTTTAGTATCTACACATAAAATACTGTATAATAAAAAATAATTCTTTATAATATCTATATATTACTAAAAAACGTTTTTTCACAGTGATGCACTTGATCAATCAAGATGAGTTGTGCTAATTTCAAATCTTTTGTTTGTTTTTAAAAATTAACTTAGATTTTTTTATTATTTTTGAAATGTGAAAAAGATATATTCAACTGTGTGTTTTCTTACATTTTATTTTGAATTGTTTTACAATATTTTGTTTTGTTCTACTAAATTTACTAAACTGTTTCAGTTTTGAAAAAATTATATCTTCATTTTCTACGTAATAATATATTATAAAAAAATAAACATCAACATTAATTTGTTACACATAGCTAATCATTGCTTTAATTTTTGCAGAATTTTATTACTTTTAATACTGCATAACTGCAGAATTTTCTTACTTTTATAATCTTTTAAAATATCAAAATCAAATATTTTAAAAGATTTAAAAGCCATTGTTATTCTTTAATTCTGCAGTATTCCTTTTTCTAAATTTAAAATGATAATTTCTGCTTCTCTAAATTTCAAATATATATTGTGGCTCTGAATTACATTCTAAATATATTTCCGCAGCTCCCTACAAGTTATTTTAGTGTTAATATATTTAGGTTGTCGTATATACGTTATTCCGAGTTGTAATGGTATTTTCGATTGTCATATACATGTTATTCCAAGATATAATGGTATGTCTTTAATTATCATAATAGAATATTATGTACTAAAAGACATACTATGACACCTTGTGAACCCAAGTTTATTAACTCCAAACGTTTTTGGTCATGTTAAATGAACTTTATTATGTATTATGTAATATAAGAAATTTATATTTATGTTTTATTGTGTAACCGACCGAAGAGGGTTAAGACCCGAAATGCGTCTCGACAAATAAAGTTATGAAATAAAAAGTTGATGATGAAAATTGCCAAATGTCTATAAATTCACCCAGTCGTGACATTGAACCAAACAAGAAAAAGAAGACATGGTTCTGATACATACAACAAGAGAAGTAAATTAATATGGCCTGTGTTAATAAGAGAAGTAAATTTACTGGTAAATTTACTTCTCTCATTAACACAGGCCATATATCAGGTCAGTTCATAAGTTTGTGCGTATTTTATGACCTTGAGAAAAATCTTGTTTTGCTATTAAAAATGCCAGTCTAATGTGATACTTTTTACACTTAAGTGTTAAATTGGATCTCATTCATATAATACTGTTCAGAATTGGGAACATTTCAGTTGTTTATTTTCGTTAAAACGGAAGTAACAGACGAATATAAGAGACATGTTTTATACTTTTTATTTTTAAGTGATGAGAATGCTACAAATGCAGCCAAAAAATTAAATACTGTTCATAATCAAACTGTAATTAGTGTAAGGACTGCACAGAAGTGGTTTGCAAGATTTAGAAATAATGATTTTAGTGTGGAGGATAAGGCTCGTACTGGAAGATCCGTTGACTTTGATGATGATGAGCTCTCTGCACTAGTTGAAGCAGAACCATCGTTAACGGTTGATGAAATTGCGGAACGTTTAAATTCATCCCATGGAACTGTTCATAGACAAAGCTTCAAAGCTAGGAAAATGAATACCACATGAACTGTAAATAGCTAACTGATGATGTTGTTGTCAGTTAGCTATTTACAGTTAGCTCAACTCCAAAGCTTCAATTGGGAAATTTTACCTCATCCACCATATTTGCCAGATATTGCTCCCAGTGATTATCATCTTTTTCGGAGTTTGCAGAATTTTTTAAAAGAAAAAACTTTTGAGGATGAGAACAATGTAAAAAAGGCTATTTCTGAATATTTTGGTTCAAAACCGAAATCATTTTACAAAGACGGGATTAAAAAGCTACCATCAAGATGGCAAGAAATTGTACAAAATAATGGTGAATACATTATAGATTGAAATAAGATTTAATTAAAATTTTTTGTTGCTTTTTTTGTAGATAAAAATGCACACGAACTTATGGACTGACCTGATATTATTGGCAACATCAAACAAAGTAAAGAACAGGCACAAAGAGAACAAAAAAAAAGAGGAATGGAGAAAGATAGCAAATGCCTATAAGTGCTGTTTGTGACAAACACAAAAAAATAAATGAAACATTGCTAATTGATTCCTTCAATTTATATATTACCTGATTTTCATTTTACAATCAAAATAAGTCAAGGAAATTAATTCAAAAATAATTACGGCATTTCAAAATTTAAAAAAATGTAAAAAATCACTTACTTTATTTAAAACAATAGCACCAGAAGTTGCTTTCACAGAAAGCATAGGATTATTCTCCAGACATAACTGTCCTATTAGTTTCTGATCCTTAGATATTGCCAACTAAAAGATATTAGCATGTATTTTAAAACAAAACTTAAAAGTCTACTGGAATTTCATTACAAAATTCAAATTATTACATAAACAATAATTTTATTTAAACAAAAATCAATAAAATATAACAATATAGTAACATATTCACTAAATTATAATTTTTATTGCAGTCCTGCAATTAAACTATAATAAATTTATTTATAAATAAAATAAATTAGTATTCACAAAGTATATATTTATAATAAAAAAGTGTAGTGATCAACCATTAATTTATTAGATAGAAATTATAGAAATATGTAATAAGAAACCTATTTTTTCACAGGAAAATCAATCATTTATGTGTTATGAAAATATCATTCACATAACATTTCATAAAAGTTTTTACTCCAGTTTTAGACTCAATAAAATTACTGAGAGAAAGACTTGATTAAAAAACTTTTGTGAACAACAATCAATAGCAGAGAAGCCAAATGAGTTTATTCAAGCTAAACACTTTTAAATTATCTTTCAACTTCAGATTATCAAACAAAATTTTAATAAAATTGATTTTTGAAGACAAAAGATTTACAAATGATATTGTGAAACTGTTAGAAGACCTATTAGACAATACAATTTTCAATCTGAAATAATTTCAAAGCTCAGATAAGGATAACATTACAATTAAATCAAAGAGAAATTCAAACAATTCAGATAAACATCCTTTATCTATTTAAAAATTAAAATCATACTTTGAAAAATTGGACATCAATTATAATTCATAAAAAAATATTATATTTCCAATAACTATTTGGAAACAACTTTTCATTTAATATTATTTATTGCATTTTTCACATACAGTATCTCTTGCTTAACACAGTTTTGCTTAATGCAGAATTTGATTAATGTGCAAAATTAAATGTGGTAATCTCTTTTTATATGTAGCAGAACTATTAATTAATGTGGTTTTTAACAGCTATCTTTACTTAACATAGATAACATGTTTTTCTCAGCAAATAAAGTGTTGGTGAATTTGCTATTTTTGTTTGTTAAAATAAAAATATTTGTTATTAACCAAAAATTTATTCTAGTGGGTCTTGATTGTTCAGTTGTGTACCAAGGTACCTCTGTATTTGATTAATGCAATTTTGATATACATAGTAGCATTGAGGGATTAATTAACCACATTAATCAACAAAGACTTGTATTTGTAAGAGCCCCAATTTAATTAAACTTTATAATGTACTATAAAAAAAAGCACAATCAAAAATTTTATATGTAGTAGAGTCCCGCTAGTCTGAACTAATTGGGACTGAGCTCTGTTCGGATTAACAGATTTTCGGATTAGCCGAATAATTGAAATAATGCAAAAGCAAGCAGTAAAACAAGTACAGTTTGTGTAGATCCAACATCATCCATGACTTTTGTTTCTGTTTTTGTGTGTAAGTACAGTATAGATCTGCTGTTTTAATTGGCCATGTCAAACACTGATTTATTAATTTTGTACAATATTAACACATTACAACAATAAAATATGATTTTTTTGTTGTGGAGTTCTAAATCTTTTTGTACTATTAAAACTACTAAAATTCAACTGAAAAATACAAAAAACATATTTTGTAAACTAAAAAATTTTCTCCTCGCCAACTGAAACATGTTTGGATTAGGCAGATATTCGAATTAGTGGTGTTCGGACTAGCAGGACTCTACTGTATCTGTTTACTCATTTTCAAACCTCAAATAATATAGAAAATTATTTTAAACATTGTTATTTTTGTATTAAATTTAAGCATAACTATATTTCCACATATAACATGTTATAGAAAATTAATGCTCCAAAATAAAATTATATAAATATATATTTTTCTCTGTGTTAAAATAGACAGAGAAAGATAACAAATCTTATGCAACTAACAATTTAGAGAAATATGAAAAACTTAAATAGAATCATAAAAACACATATGCACTAATGGTTAAATAACAAATACAAAATTTAAGAGCTTTTCTAAAAACTAATAAAATACTTATCAAACTTACTTGAGATTTATATCTCTGCAGCATTAGGTATACATATATGATATATTAAATACAAAATTCTCTGTCATTTTAAAGTTATATTAATATATAACAATAATTTTAAAATATATTCTTGGATTATATTTAGCTTTATAATCTTCAATAATTAAAATTAACATACTTGCAAGAAATAAAAGAAAATATTTATTTATGTATAATAAAATATATATTGCAAATTTAATTAATTACATAATGATATCACAATAATGTGAGATCCGAATAGCCCCTGGGTCTAATTAACAATTTAAATATAAAATTAAAATAATGAAGTAAAATATTCTTTCATTTTGGTGTGAAAATATCGTTTTTCTAACGTAAGAAAACTGATAAAAGAGCCACTTCCTTTAATGGAAGTAGATACATCCTTTTGTTTTCCACTTATCTATCACAAATCTCACCACTCTGGGAATTGTCGACCTCTCAATAATTCCCCTTTTCATCCGTTCACGTGAGAGAAGACAAATAAGCTGATTGGTCACAAAAGGAGATATAGTCAAAGATCTCCATGATTCGGGGAGTACGTCAGAAGATCTCATAGATAAAAGAGGTGTTCCATATTCGCTCCCTAAGGCCAACGCCCTTAGTCGTATCCAATTGAGTATAAAAATGAGTTAATTTAGGAAGAAAAGAAGAAACTTTTAATATTGTGCCAAATCAAGACCTCACCATGAAATGAAGTATGATCATAGAATACAGATGAACATAAAGACAAAGTAAACTTTGAGGTAGTGTGATTATAAATGAATTTGTGACCTCTCTCTATTGACACGTATATTTTAATTGCATCCATATTCTCTCTAAATCGCTCGTTTGAATTGTTTAATTATATCCATTTTGTATACTTTTGTTTATTCTAGTTTATTAAATTCTTTTATTTATGTGTTAAAGAAATGTCTCATCTTTGTTTGAATCACATCCATATCTTCACACGCGTGTTAATCCGCGTATCTAAATTTGATTAACTGGTGTTGGGATCCTGACGAGGAAGAAGGTGAATTCACAATCACCAAATTCCGCTTTAAATTTATTATAACTATAAGTCCCTCCGCACTCGATTTCCTTAGATTAGGAAAAGCCATTCTTGTAGACGACCGAGAACTAGTTTCAACAACTAGCCGCCAATTAAGTGGTACTAACAATCCTAGTGGAAAGGTACCCCCGACTAGAATCTCACAATAATAATTTATGAAACCAAATAGATTTGTTATTAATAATTACTGCTAAATTACTAAAATCTTTAATTAATTCTACCATCACTAGTTTCTGTGGATTTTTTAAAAAACCTAAAGTTTTTGGCTTTTTTTTCAGTAACTTAACACACAAGGAACTCTTATTGATATTGGCTTTATTAATGAAAATGCATTTTGACCCCTTTTTGTCATTAAGACCCCTCTTCAGTTCTTATTTTTGTACAGACCTTATCAAAAGAAAAAATAGTTATAAATTACATCATACATACATGTTTACAGATAATATTTAAAAAAGAATCTTTTTTTTTTATTTACATTAGCTGATTATTAAATATAAATTGAAATTAAAAATTGATTGGACATATTATAAAATTTGTTTAAAAATGGTTGCTGTATAAGATAAAATTGAAGTAGATAAATAAAAAATATTAAATAAATAAAATATTAAAAAATTTTCTAAAAAATAATGTAAATTGCTATTACATGTAGATGGGAAAAATTACAAGTTGGTTAAGGTTTAAAACAAATTTTTGAATAAAACTAATCATTAGAAGTAAAAAATTAAGTTTAAAAACTTTTCAAAAATCGAAATTCAAAAATTTCAAAAATTTGTTTAAGTTTTTAAAATCTGTTTAAAACCCAAGAAATTCTTCTCATCCTTGGAAATCCTGCAAATTTCTTAAAATTCACTTTTTTCTTATTTTGTGTTAAGGTTGAAGAAATTTTGCAAATAGAAAGTATAATTAACTCATAAACCATCAGAATACATTCGTATTTATTAATTTTAAGCCTACTTATTAGTTTTTAAAATTTTTGCTTATTGTGGCATGTCACAGATTTCAATAATTAATATGTAGCTTATTTGTGACAGGACTCTGAAAATTTTTACTTGTCAGAACCTGTAATATATGGAATAATTGTGTTTATGCTGTCTTAATTTTTAACCATGCCCAGTAGCTTCAATAACTGCATTATGCCAGGTTGTGCAAATTGGGCAAGGATACAAACAAGTATGAAGTTTTTCTTCATAAACATGATTATTAAAGATGAATGAACTGCCAAATTATCAGGCCATTAGCTTGATGCTGCTATTAAAGCAGCCGAGGTAGACAAATCAAGAATACTAGATGGCAAAAGAAATACTGTAACACATCTCAAAAATGAATTAGAAATCTTCCAGGCTATGGGTGAAAAAACACATAACATCTGTCTTCTCTTAAATTCATTAAAGACGATTCCACCCACATCAGTTGAATTGAAAAAGGCATTCTTGGTAGCAGGACTTTTATTTAGTAAAATAAGAATCAAATTGAGTTATCTGAGTATTGATCATCTTTGCTTTTTAAAATCTTATTATAAAAATTTACAATAATATTTCGTATTATGTTTAATTTAAAAAACAAAAATTTCCTTTTAAGTTAGAAGTTTAATCTAAGTTTGTTTTTTTTTTAATTTTCAACTCAATTCAAAGGCATATTTTTTTTTTGTAAACAATTTTTAGCAAACTTTAAAAAATTTTTTCTATTTCTAAAAATTTCTACATAATTCAAATTTTTAATACATATTTTACACAGCATTATTATTATTATTTTGGTGGTTGCAAGGCATATTAAATTACTTAAATAAATGAAAAATAATATATCATTTGATTTCAATATTTATTTTATATCTTAAAAATAATTATATCCCGGGTTTTCCCAGGATCCTGGGGAAACAGTTCACTTTTTTCCAAAATCCTGGGACAAGCAAAGGCCCAGGAAATGAGAAACCTTAGTCTATAGCAATAAGAGTGCCTTGATAAGTTATTGAAAAAAAGCCAAAAAAACTTCGAGGTTTTTAAAAAAAATCTACTTAAATCCTTATTAATTTTAATGAATTAAGGTTTTAAATCTATCAGCAAGTGAATTTAATACTATATGCAGATATATTGATATTTATTGAAGAAATTTAAAATATTATAAAATAATGGTATAATAGTATACAAATCTGGAGTACTTTCAATAATGATAATGTAGAGAGCATAAAGCATTTTACATCTTTTGAAATTCTCTGATAATGATGCAGTAAAAATTTTAAAGTTTGTAATTTCCTTTGTCTTGAATTCATAGGCTTTCATATGCTGTTATTAAAAATTCTAAAATTTGTATTATATCATCATCAAATATTTGTGTAAAATATAATATTTAAAACTTAAAATAAAAAAATAGTCACATTTATCATATGATACAATAGTTGTATTAATTTTATATTTGACAAGTGGCTACATAGTTATCATCGAGATGATTAAATATATTTACTTGTGATTATTTCAAATAAAATTTATTATAACAGACATAGGATGTTTGTAATGAATTGATAAAAATATATTCAATTAAATCTTACTTCTATATCTCCCCAATGTAATTGAATTTCCTCTGCATTTAGATGAAGATATTGGGCTACTCGTTGTCTTAGAGATCCTAAAGTTTCATTGCTATGGCACTAGATTATTATAAGATGTATAAATAATTAAGACTAAAATTATAAAATCATCTTAGCATATAAAATTTGTAATTAATCATACCATAATTGTTATTTCTTTATTAGAATCAATACTTAATGTTATAAGAACAGGATATCCAATAAAAGATGAACCATGTGGCAATATAGTTCGAGGTGCTGTGTGCAATTCTTCTATAGAAGATATATATCTTTCAGCTATTTGCAACAAACGGCAAATATTTTGCAACTTTGTCATTCTGAAAATACAATAGTAATAAATATGAAAAAGGTTAATAAATTAATTACAACTTCTTAAATCATGTCTTGTTATTACAATAAAAATATTTATATATGAAATATTTAACATACCTTATTGCTGGTGGAAATGAGGCAACTTCTGAAACAGATATGGCAGTTAAAGTTTTGGTTGCATTAGACACAGCTTCTAACATTACTGTTCCTCCAACTGCTCCTGTCACAATCTTTCAAACAAAATATAAATCATAAATCAAAAAATTCTCAAATTGAATAAATAATATACTTAAAGAATATTAAACATAAATAAATGAAATAATTTAGGTTTAACAATTTCTATAGTAATTAGTTGTAATAATGTAACTAAATTTATTGGAGTAATTGTTTATTTCCAATAAATTTAGTTACATTACAAAAATTAAAAAGCATTCTATGTTTATAAAAACTTTAAAAATTAATTCAAATTTTTCTGGATACAAAATTTAATACTAATACTGAACTTTATATACTCAATATGATAAAGTATATTTCCTATGCATTTGGACATGTTCACCGCCTTTTTATATTTTGTATATCAAGCTTTCTTCAACTAATTATGTAACCATAGCATTAATCATGTTACAATAAAAAATAACTTCTCCAAATGTTGTATAACATTGAGCTATAAATTGGCAATAAAAATTATAAGTTACAAATAAATTTGACATTAGAGGAAGGTGTCAGGAGCCATCTCATATTAAATTTTAATAATTATAATTTAATTAAATAATTTTTAAATAACTTTAGACTAAACTAGAAGAAAAAAATTGGCCCAGAGCCCCATCTTGTATTAAATTTAATAATTATAATTAAATTACAATTATTAAATTTAATACAAGATAGTACCTATCACCTCCCTCTAGTGCCAAATTTATTTGTAACTTATAATTATTATTGCAAAATTATAATTGATGTTATATGGCATTTGGAGAAGTTATTGCTATGTATTGGGTTTGATGTGGATGTTTATATATACAGTAAAAAATATCTATTGTATTTTTTACTGTATATATTACAAATATACAAATATATTTATATTTGTTAAAGTTCTCATTATTTATTGTTTTCTGATGCATTGTATCCATTATTTTTAAGACAAGTCATTTTCCTAATTTAAAACTATCTATTAAACTTGCTCTAAAACTAATCATTCTTCAGTTACTAAAGAATATTATAATATTTTTCATTATTACAGTGCCTAATAATTATATATCATAACTATTATAATATGGAAGATTCCTGATCAAATTCACACAACTGTAACCAACATCATTTATTCTTTTGTTATAATAAATCTTTTTTAGTTACTATTTACAATAACTAAAAATTATAAAATAAAAATGAATAATATGTAATTAATAATTTATATATTGCTAAGATTTTTCCTGTTTTATAGTTTTCTTTGCAAATTTCTTATTTTCAAATTTCAATTCTTATTTTATGTAATTCATTTACTTCAATATTTTGAAATTGTTTTGTGAATATAAGGCATTAAATTTTAATTTAAAGCAAAATCAAATTCCTATTGATTTAATATCAAGTATTCTATATTTATTGGAATTATAAAAATAAGAGTAAATAAATACATAAAGATTTAAACCTTAGAAACAAAAATAATATTTTTAAATAGCAAAAATATAATACTTTTATAATAATTTGTTTTTAAATGTAACTTGTTTTAAATTATGTTACATATATTGAAACAGTTAATAATTTTAAAATAATTTTTGATGATGTTAAATTAATTTATAAATATCATTTATAAAAATGTAAAGATTGTCAAATTATATTGTGATTTTTCCACTCTACCTCTTACACACAGATAAGCATGTGTATATATATGTAATATATACATATCTCTTTTTCTTCTAATTTCTGATGATAATTTCCAATTTTTAATGAAATAAATTTAATTTAATATGCTGCAATCCTTCTCAACTAAAAAGAATTGTCTTTGAATAAAGTGTTTTCATTTGCATGTGTTTGTCTCTATGTATACATATACATAATTCAACAAACTTAATTGTGTGTTTACAAACAGTAATTCTGTAGATATTGCCAAAAGTGAATCACATTTTTCCAATTTCTTTGATCATATTATATGTTTTGAATGTATTTTATTTTTTTAAATTTTAATAACTTATTATTACAGATACAGTAGAGCATCAATTATCCGAAACAATTCGGGACTGAGATTGTTCGAGTAAGTGCTTTTTCAGATAACTGATCATTTATGAAAAATATATTAAACACAAAACTCTACTATATATGTTTTGTATCATATGTCTTACAAATACATATCTTATATAAAGTTGTGCTAACCGAGGGGGCTGAAGTGGAGAGCTTCTCCCCACTTACCGACTTGGCTGTCAGGAAATGGCTATAGGAGGGCAAAAGGAGTGGGAGGCGTAATGAAGTCGTAATGAGGTGTCGGTAGTACACAGTAAAAGTCATTAAATTTAGGAACAACACATTTAATATAAACACAAGAATGTTACAAATACATTAGGGTACATCTTAATTCTAAACAAAAGTGAAAATATAATAATATCAATTTCGCGTCGCGACGATATCGGACAACCGATGTCCGTCTATCCCGTAAGTAGGACCGTTGAAGGTCCTCGACTCAAATAATTCTAAGACCTATCAAAAGGTACAGAGCAAATAATTTCTAAGTCCCGAGTAAGTCGAGAGACGAATAATTTCTAAGTCCCGAACATACCGAGAGACAATAAATTCTAAGTCCCAAGTATACCGAGAGACAATAATTTCTAAGTCCCAAGTATACCGAGAGACAATAATTTCTAAGTCCCGAGTATACCGAGAGAGAGTGAAGTAAAAAACAATCTAAGTATTTACCTCTTTAGGTCGGCAATCAGAAACCTTAAAGTTTTTCTAGAGGAGACGCTTGTAGTCTTCTTTCTCCGATGATCATGCTCGAGACCTCTGATCATTCCCCTTTTATACCTTTTTAGCGTGGGAAATCTCGGGGACTCCTTTGACGTAATATGTCAATTCTCCCGATTTATGACAGTCTCCCCCATCATGGGTGATGACAATGCAGACATCGCTTGACCAATTAATGTTAAATTCGTCATCACCTGGGGAGATGACTGACCATTTTAGGTAATGTTTCTCACCGTAAGGGTGACCTTTGTAGGTGACCTCTTGTCTACTCTCCATACAGGAACACATGTTTGTCTTTTACGGTCTAGCCAATTAGTAAAATAGTGCAATATAGTAGTCTCCTGGGGAGAGGGGCGTTCTTCCGCGGTCGCCTCGGACGACTTCGTCCCAGGGATGACCTTCTTGACGGACGAATTACACAGTTCATTATCCGGGGTCTATTCCTCGGGTAACGGGGTGAGAACGGGAGAAATAACGGAAATAATGATGAAAGAAATATAACTTGTTATGTATTTAATTAAAATTCTCATACGATAGTCAGGTTTTCACAAAGTAGTACATTAAAGTAGGCCTACAGTTAATGTTGGCAGGGAGGGAAAGATTGCTGCAGTGGCACAGCACTAGCGGAAATTTGAATTTGCTGACTGGAACACTTTTGTTAACCAATGTTTGGGTTGTTTGGTATTCGGAGAATCAATGCTCTACTGTAGTATATCTCTTCAGATTCTTACTAAAACATTCCTGACATAATTTGTGTATGTTATAAATGCTATCATGTATACATAATACATTTTTCTTCCATTATTGTAATAATTTCAATAATCAGAATGCAAAAAGTTGTGCTTCATCTGAATTTTTTTTAAGTTTAACTTATTCCATACAAGAAATCTGTACATATGTTACATATAGCTTACATATAAATAACAGGTGGCTTGATCTTTGATTTCTTGTAAATTGAATGCTGTCTATTATATTTTGTTTTTAACTTTAAAACTTTTTATTTCTTGAAAGAAGTTAATAATAATGTTTTAGTCTTACATGATAAATAATTAAATAAATAATTTCATAACTAAATACTAAAACATTAAACATAGCTGTGTTTGATACTTAAAATATATTAAAAACTTATCTTTTGAACTGCTAATTTTAACAAAATATTAAATTTAATTATTTAAATAAAATTATCAACATAACTATTAAACTGTTTAATACTTTTATGCTAATACATAAAAAATTCAAAATCAATAACTAAACAAAGCTTACATCAAGTCTTCTGTAGCATTCTCCAATGAATTTCTTATGCAGAGAAACAGGGTCCTATTTAATTATAATAAAAAAATGTTTGGAAACTTTCATATTTATAAAATTGTATAGTTTTTTATTAGTATTATTAATTATGTATAATCAAATATTTTTAAATTTTCAGTGTTACATTAAAATTTAAAAATAAGAAAATAATAATTATTAGCTTCAGAATAGTTTATGATAGTCAAATAATCATTAAACAACAAAAAAATGTCTAGATTATAATTATGCTAAATATATATTTTAATATACATACAGTGGTACCTCAGGATACAAACACCCCAGCATATGAAATTTTCAAGATACGACATGAAATTCGAACATATTTTTGCTCCATGATACGACCAAAAACTCGCCATACGATGTTACATTAGTTCGCAGCGCCATTTTTTATTCACTTCTGTTCATCGGTCTTAGTCCGCATGTTTGCTTCGTCGTGGAAGGATCTTGCTCGATAAAGGAAATCTCAGGTATTATCAGAAAGTGACTGATTTTATTGAAAAGAAACATCCCAAAAAGGTTCACACTAGATGTATTGCTGCTCAGAGTAATGACATTTGCCTAAGTCGTTTTATAAACATTTTAAAAAGTAGGCAAAGCCAAACCTCTTTGGATAGATATTTTACCAAGCGACCTCTATCTAGTGAAAGTGCTGGTGGAAGTGAAGGAAAGAAAGCAAAAAGCAGTGAATAAAAATTTAAAAAAATATATATAAAACAACACTAATTTTTTTT